GCCACCAGGGAGGCCCTAGACTTTGTATTTTATAGCAGGTTTTGGTTTACAGAAAAATTGAGTGGAAAGTGTCACGATATTGGTACTACATTTAAAAACTAAGTCCCCGGTGGCGCAGCGGTTGAGCGCTGGGTTGCGAAGCTGCGCGCGGCCTCTGTGGCGCCGGTTCGATCCCCAGCTGCTCCCCGGACACCGGAGGAGGGTCCCACATGGCGCGCAGACCTCTCCTGCCGCCCGCTGCTCCCCTCAGCAGTGTACTTCGGTCCTTCTGCCTGCTCTGCTCCCCGCTCTGGCTCTGGTGAATTCTCTCACCCTCCCGCGCTTCTGACTGTACCCAGTGCATGTATAAACAAAACAAACAAACAAACCAGCAAACAAATAAATAAAAAGCATGCCTCTATTAAAAAAAAAAAAAGGGCCTCCCTGGTGGCGCAGCGGTTGCGCGCTGGGTTGCGAAGCTGCCCGCGGCCTCCGCGGCGCCGGTTCGATCCCCGGCTGCTCCCCGGCCACCAGAGGAGGGTCCCGCATGGCGCGCAGACCTCTCCTGCCGCCCGCTGCTCCCCTCAGCAGTGCACTTCAGTCCTTCTGCCTGCTCTGCTCCCTGCTCTGGCTCTGGTGAATTCTCTCACCCTCCCGCGCTTCTGACTGTACCCAGTGCTTGCATAAATAAATAAAAAAAAAAAAAAGGTTGTCTTTAATAAAAAATAAAAACTAAGTCCCTGTTCCTTGCCCAGCAGTTTTTTTTCTATAAACCAAAAACTGGAATGGAAACTAGGAATGGAAGCTATTTCTTTAACTTGAAGATGATCAATGAAAAACCGTAGGGCTTATCTTAGTGAAAGTACTCAGTAGCTGGACATAAGAGAATTCAAGAGATCTAGACTGTAAATATAAATCTGGCAATAGCTGGTTATTGAAGTCCTGAGGGTGGATGAATCAGCTGGAGAATCACTTAGAGTAAAAAAGGAAAGCCTGGGATGGGACCCTGAGGAAGACCAACATTTTAAGACCTGAGCAGAAAAAGAAGATGGTCCTAAGGAGATTGAGATTGAGGAGTGGTGTAGTGGTAGTAGTAAGAGTTCAGAATATGAAAGCCAAGGGAAGAGGATTCACCTTGGTTCTGATCAGAAGTGTTTCTAGGAGCATAAAATAAGTTGTAGGAAGATATCTCCATATGGGAAGTCAGGGAAATAAAAATTAAACTAAATTCTGGCCTCCCTGGTGGCTCAAGGGGTTAAGTCTCAGCACAATGAAGCTATGGGCAGCCACTGCAGGATGAGTTTGGTCCTGCCAGGGTACTGACCCACATGGGCAGCAGACCTCCCACTGCTCCCCTCAGCAGTGTATTTCAGTAGATGCACCTGTTCTGCTCCCTACTCTGTCTCTGGTGAATCCTCTCTCCTCCCCTCCCCCCCCAGCACCTCTGGCCTAGACCCCAGCTCTTGTATGTATAAACAAAATAAATATTTAACAAAATATATAAAGGATAATAAAAACCAAAAAATCCAGTAAACCTTTGATTGAACTTATGAAGTAGAACATTAACAAACCAATAAAGGCTACCCATGTGCATTTTTCCAGTCTCCTCCTCTTTGTTCCCTCTATGAGGGAAATAGTAACTTTAAATGGTAACCACTACTCTATTTTTTTCTACTAATTATTATGTTGTTATGATGGTGCACAGGTGCATTGGTGAAGGAAATTCTATGGGGACTACACCTGAGGGGGGAGAGAAGCAAATATCCTTTAAAAATGAACAATGATGTAGAAAAATAAATTAAAAAAAATTTAGAAAAGAAAGTAAAAATACACGTTTACCTCCATACATGTTTTTTTTTTTTTTTAAAAAAAAGATTTATTTATTTATGCATAAAAAAACTGGGATGTAGGCGAGCATTGTGTGGGTGAGAGGATTTACCAGACACAGAGTGGGGAGCAGAACAGGGGGATCTGGGCCTCCCCGGTGGCGCAGCGGTTGAGCGCTGGGTTGCGAAGCTGCCCACAGCCTCTGCAGCACTGGTTCGATTCCAGGCTGCTTCCCAGCCACCAGAGGAGGGTCCCACATGGCATGCAGACCTCTCCTACCCCCCTCCCACCCGCTGCTCCCCTCAGCAGTGTACCTCAGTCCCTCTGCCTGGTCTGCTCCCCGCTCTGGCTCTGGTGAATTCTCTCATCCTCCCGTGCTTCTGACTGTACCCAGTGCTTGTATAAATAAATCTTTAAAAAAAAAAAAAAAAGAACAGGGGGATCTACTGAAATACACTGCTGAGGGGAGCATCAGGAGAGACAAGAGAGGTCTGCTGTGCCATGTGGGTTAGTTCCCTGGCAGAGAACTCATGCTGCAGTGGCTGGTGGTAGCTTGATAGTGCTGACACTTAACCCCTTGCTACACCAGGGAGGCCCCAATATGTTTCTTTAAACAATAGATCCTTAATTAGATCAATGTATGATCTTTATAATAAGGGCATCATATTATATACAGATTTCTCACTTGCCTTTTTCACACTATCTTGTGTGTAAATATAGTTTATTTATAGAGGCATGTTTTTTTTAATTTATTATTTTTTTTGTTTATACATGCACAAGCGCGGGAGGGTGAGAGAATTCACCAGAGCCAGAGCGGGGAGCAGAGCAGGCAGAAGGACCGAAGTACACTGCTGAGGGGAGCAGCGGGCGGCAGGAGAGGTCCGCATGTGGGACCCTCCTCCGGTGGTAGGGGAGCAGCCGGGGATCGAACCGGCACCGCAGAGGCCGCGGGCAGCTTCGCAACCCAACGCTCAACCGCTGCGCCACCGGGGAGGCCCTAGTTTATTTATTCTACTTCTATAAACTTCCTTAGTGACTTTTTGAAAATGTTTATCTGTTTTCTTGTCAGATATTTGAGTAGTTTGCAGTATTTTTTCCCTTTATGAACAATGGTGTCATGCCAAGTATTCTGGTGCATATATTTAAAGCTTTCCCCATAAGCAGTTCCACTACTATGGGTCTGGGGAAAGCACATACTTCATTTCTCTAGATTATGCCAAAATGATTGTACCAATATACACTTCCACCAGTACTGGCTAAGTGTCCCTGGTTTTCTATATCCTTGTATTATCAGACACCTTAATTTTTACCAATGAAATGGCTTTAAGGTGATATCTTACTACGTTATTAATATTTATGTGATTACTAATGAAGGGTAATTTATTTTTTTATATTTTGTTCATTTTTTTTTCCTCTGAAGTCCTGGTTAAAACATAACTTGGGATTTTTCCTTCTGGAAGCCTCCCATGACTTCCTCAGATACCCAGGCTAGATTAAATGTGGCTACCCATCGTTTGCACTTTTCTATTATTATTTTTAAAAAGATTTATTTATTTATTCATACAAGAGCTGGGGCACAGGCCAGAGACGTGGGGGCGGGGGTGAGAGGATTCACCAGAGACAGAGTGGGGAACACACCAGGCAGATTGAAATACACCGCTGAGGGGAGAAGCAGGCGAATCAGGAGAGGTCTGCTGCGCCATGTGGGTTGTTCCCTGGCCGGGGATTGAACTCGTGGGACAGTGGCTGCGGATAGCTTCATAGGTTGCGTCTCAACCCACTGCGCCACCAGGGAGGCCCCGCATGTTTCTATTATTACGTTTCGACAAATTCCATTTTTCAAGGTTACCTGAGAATTTCTTTACTACTCAAAGCATAGTCGGGCCTCCCCGGTGGCGCAGCGGTTGAGCGCTGGGTTGTGAAGCTGCCCGCGGCCTCTGTTCGATCCCCGGCTGCTCCCCGGCCACCGGAGGAGGGTCCCACATGGCGCGCAGACCTCTCCTGCCGCCTGCTGCCCCCTCAGCAGTGTACTTCGGTCCTTCTGCCTGCTCTGCTCCCCACTCTGGCTCTGGTGAATTCTCTCACCCTCCCGCGCTTCTGACTGTACCCAGTGCATGTACAAACAAACAAACAAATAAATAAATAGAGCATGCCTCTAAAAAAAAAAAAAAAACATAGTCATCACTTTACATGGCAAATTCCCCTTTTCAATTCTATTTCTTTTGCACCCAATATTATAACCCTTGACCCTTGAATAACATGGGTTTGATATGTGGAGGAACACTTGTTAGCAGAAACTTTTTTTTTTTTTTTGTGGGACCCTCGCTGGCGGCCAGGGAACGAACCGCCTCGCAGCCCAGTGCTCAACCGCTGCGCCACCAGGGGAGGCCCAGCAGAAACTTTTTATCTGCGGATTTTTTTTTAAACCTGCGAGTTCCACCTTCAGTCAATCAATTGTAGATGTTGGCTGTCATTGCAGGTAAATGGCTTGGCCTAGCCTCCCAAAGTGATATACAAGTCTATTATTTAGGGCTTTTTCTGAAGGGATAAAAAAACGCAATACAAACTTACTACGAAAAGGACCTCATCAGCTGATAACACAGAAAAACCCAGAAGAATGGCTGAATCCATGTTCTGAAATGATATTGTCAAAAACATCTTCTAGCCACCTCTTTGGTCCCATCAGCAATCAGAAACTCTTTCTGTGCGTGTAAATTTGCAGTTAAAAAAAAAACTATTACTGCTTTAGTTAGTCTAAAGTACATCTCTTGGTATAAAGCACAGTTTATAGGGAAAGATGGGTGCTTGGGGTTTCTACGGAGGTGCTGGGTGGAGCCCCATCTTCAGTCTATCGAACCCCAACCACTGGGCTAGGTAGGTTCTGATTCCCGAAACACAAACTACAAAAAGTGAGAAATCCTAAAAGAGCCCTCGCGCCACGACTGTAGCCGGAACCTTGACCTCAAGATGGCGTCGCGTAGTCATAAGATTAACTCGGATCCAATCAAAAATGGCAGGGTGGGTCGTAATTTGCAGCTCAAGCCTTTCTAGTCCCCACTAGGCGCTTCTTCTCTATGGTTATTCGCCGTAGCGTGGTGATTCCGAGCCAACAGTGAAGACTATCTAGCTTCGTTCTTCTCTATGATTCTTCTCTCCACACCCCCGGCCGCAGTGCACGCCGGGCAAGAGGAAGCCCTCCAGAAGCTCCCCGCGCTGCGCGGCTGTGTTTGCGGCCTGTGCGAGTAGGCGCTGCGCGGAGCCCGTCTCCCGGACGAGCGGCGCGCAGAAACCTCGAGCCGGTGGAGCCCACTCGTAACCTGAAGCTCAGAAGGCCGCGAAGACAGTGCTGTTTCCTCAGCGGCGGGTGAGTTCACGCCACAGAACGCGTGTGGAAACGAGGAGACCGGGTACCCCAGCTGGGGGAGGAGGGAAAACCGGGGAAGCTGCTAAAGGGCCGGGGCGGGGTAGGGGTAAGGAGGGGGGGTTATATGGGGGAGGGGACGGGCACGAGGCTTGGGTTTCTCCACCTCTCCAAGGCCTCAAAAACCAGTGGGCCCAGCAAGAACCCGTGAAGGCCGGACCTGCTGCCATAGCTTTCCTCCTCGCTTTGTCGCCCGCTTTCCCTTCCCTTCCACCGTCCGCCAGAGTGAATCTCCTTGCCTCCCTTTGGGCTCCACGTTTGCCCACAAAACGATCGGTCGGCCCCCGGGGATCCTTTCCCTGGGTCCCCTTTCTGACCCGAGCCTCCGGAACCTTACGGTAGATTTTCGGGGCCTAGGACACACTAGCCTCAGACTCTGCCTAGAAGCCAGACAGCACCCACCCAGAGCGAGGTGCTGGCCTTCAACGGATTCCTTTCCCTTCCTCTTGGGTCATCTGGAGCCCGCCACCGAGTGAACTGGGCCCCACCCACCCTTAATTAGCTAATGCCCATCTTTTTAGCATTCTCCTGGTTTGCTTGTCTGAAGTTGTGATGACTATTGTAGTCTTGCCCCTTTCCTCCAATGGAGGTTGCAGTAAATTGTTTGTCCATTCATTCCAGGCTATTAGCAAGCCCTGTATTAAAATGAGTGCTTTCTCACCCTTCTTGGTCTTAGTTTTACTTTTGAAATAGATTTTTTAAGCTAGATGTAGGACTATTACTTTTGAAGTTACGTAATACGGATTTATATTTCCTTAGAAATGCCATTTTGATACTGGACAGAAAGGAGCAGACCCAAAGGAGGGACTTGATTTTTCTTGCCCCAGTACTGTGCATAAGATAGTTGGCAGTGGTGCATAAAGTTTTTACACGGTCTTCTGAGCTTTAGTTCTTAAAAGATTATTTCCCCAAACATTCAGAAGCTGGAAAAGCATTCCATTGGCCATCAGTTCCTCATGATTCCTAGCTTTTCTTATGTAGAATGAGTATTGTAATAGTACCCACTAATTCAGTTTGTTGGGGTTCAGGATTGGGAAAAACGTATGTGAAAAATTTGATTGCAGTACTCAAGTAACTTTGTGTTCAAGCCATATTAACTGATATTATTTGTTATATAAGCTTTTTCAATGAAATACAACTCTGAGTCTTAACATTTCTTCCAGCTACCCTGAATAGACTATAAATAAAGTCAAAGTCAACTCTTAATAAGTTTTTCATTGATATGTTATTACTAGAAAGAGGCCTTATAATGCAGTGAAAAAAGGATAGTGGGGACATTGGAGCCCCCACCCATTTATTATGTTCCCTTGGACCAGTTAGCGTCTTCATCTCTAAAAGGAGACTATATCTACACCAGGTAATTTGGGAGATTAAGTGAGTAATGTATTTTGAAGACTGTTGTAAACAAAAGTAAATATGTTAGTTGATATTTTAATTAAATAATTCCTCACCTATGAGTTACCAGATTCCCTTTTTTGATCTCCAGAGTGGGGTTTTCTCCCCTTTTTTGTAAGGTACTAAAATATTTTTAGGGGAAAAAGTCTTAATTGTCCCACTGCTGCATATAAATAAGCACCATATATTAATGATTTCAACTAAGTTTTTTTGTTTCAACTAAGCTTTTTATTTTATTTTTTCCTCCTTTGTGTTAAGGTTCCAAATACATTTTTAAATAAAAGTGATTCCATTTAAGATTGGATAGTTACTTCAGATTTAATTTAAGTTTGGGATTTTCGAGTTGCGTTTTTGGCTACAAGTTACCCACATACTTTCCTCATTTACACATGATTTAGGAAAAAAATTATATTGACTGTTTTATAACTTTGGAAATGAGTAGTTGCTGAATCTTTTTTGTTGTTGTTGTTGGTGCCAAAACCCTGGAGCCAACTGTATCACTTAATATCTTGCAAAAACATTCCGTGTATTTTGTAATCTTTCACTAAAAAGTCTTTTCTGACACTTCCAATGCCATTCGTAAGAGAGGATTCTGACTGTTTCCTTGGGATTTCAATAACTTTTTCCTTATCTTTTTTTTTTTTTTTTTTTAATTTTGAACCTTCAGAAAATAAAAACAACATGTTTCTGTTAGCCAGAATTGTTGTTATTGCTTAATTTTTAAAAAAAAATTATTTATACAAGCACTGGGTACAGTCAGAAGCACGGGTAGGGGGGTCAGCAGGGGGTGAGAGAATTCACCAGAGCCAGAGCCTGGAACAGAGCAGGCAGACTGATGAGATACACTGCTGAGGGGAGCAGCAGGCAGGGCAGGAGAGGTCTGCACGCCATGTGCGACCCTCGCCTACAGCCAGGGATGGAACCGGCGCTGCAGAGGCTGCAGGCAGCTTCGCAGCCCAGTGCTTAACCGCTGCGCCACCAGGGGAGGCCCTTATTGCTTAATTTTTTACATTTTTGACATAAATTCAAACTTAAACATTGCAAGATTCTCATATCTTTTACCCAGGTCCCCCAGATGTTAACATTTTACCAATTTGGTTTCTTCTGAAATATTTTGCTAGTAAATTGCAGAGATGATATCCCTTCACACAAGAACATTTCATTATTTAAAAACTGAAAAGATTAAAGTCAAGAAATCAGCTAATACAGTTTTATTTAATCTGCAGGTCTTAGTTGGATTTTGGATTTTGCCTGAAATTGCCCTGTCTTGGGTAATTCTTTTTATTTCTCAGTGAAAATATTTTTTTTATTATTCAGTATTTTATTTTTTTAATTTTTATTTTTTTAAAGATTTATTTTTTATTTATACAATAGCAGGGGTACAGGCCAGAGGTACGGGAGGGTGAGAGGATCCACCAGAGACAGAGCGGGGAGCAGAACAGGCAGACTGACCAAAAGCATTGCTGAGGACAGGAGAGGTCTGCTGCGCCATGTGGGTTTCTCCCAGGGTGGCCCGCACTGCAGAGGCTGTGGGCAGCTTCACAGTGCTGCGCCCAACCCACTGCACCGCTGGGGAGGCCTATTCAGTATTTTATTTTATATCCTTTTTTTTTTAAAGATTTATTTATACAAGCACTGGGTACAGTCAGAAGCGCGGGAGAGTGAGAGAATTCACCAGAGCCAGAGAGGGGAGTAGAGCAGGCAGAAGGACTGAAGTACACTGCTGAGGGGAGCAGCAGGCAGCAGGAGAGGTCTGCGCACCATGCGGGACCCTCCTCTGCTGGCCGGGGAGGAGCCGGGGATCGAACCAGCGCAGCAGAAGCTGCGGGCAGCTTCGCAACCCAGCGCTTAACTGCTGTGCCACCAGGGAGACCCGTATTCAGTATTTTAAAGCAGCCTAATTAAAGTATAATTTATATATAAAATTCATCTATAAATGCCAGCTCAGTGATTTTTAGTAAATGTACAGTTACACAACCCTTACCCAAAAGGATCCCTCTTTCCTGTTTGCAAGACCCACTACACCTCCAACAAACCACCAATCTTTGTACATAGCATTGTTTTTTAATCACTGAAAATTATTTTTTAAAAAAGAAACTCATGAAACGATCAACTCCCTTTTAGGAGGCTCAAAACACTTGAATAATTTCATACCTCTGGAAAACTTTCTTGTTAAACTTCTCATTAATTAAATGTGGTCTGTTCGTTATACATTGAGGAGTTTTTCTTAGGAAAGTTTGAAGACTCCAGTTCTGTGGGAATTCAGTTGAGAAATCATGCTTTACTTAATGGGGGCAGTGGTGTCAGTACAGTATAACAGCTGTAAGCAACAGGTATCTCAGTACTATGGTAAAAATCATGTATTGATGTAGAGCCATTGGACTTTGAAACTTTATGTAATAACTTAAAATTTGCTCTTTCAAGACTAATAAAAATAATACCTAATAAGAACCTGGTACAAAATTGTAGCTAGGTAATGAATTAATGAAAAAGATGTACGAGTATTTGCTGAGGGAATATCTTGTTTGCCTCTTATCATTTCATAAATTTGGCACACATTGCCCTGATGGGGTCAGCCTATAAATCTATCTTTGGTGAAATGTTTTGTTTCTGTCGGGATAAATTCTGCAGTGGAAAAATGCCTATAAGCAGTAATGGTGTTCTTGGGAGGACACTAAATATGGATGATGTAAGAGTAAGGGGAAAAGTTGAGAAAGGCAGAATTCATGCGTATTTGAGTAGCAGAGATACATTATTTAGAAATGTTTGTTTTCACTTTTTTGGACTGCATCTTTTGAGATAAAATACATATTTAATAAAGTGTATCCATTGTCGTTTCAGTGAGTTTTGCCAAACCTGTGTGACCAGTGACACACTAGAGAGAGGTTATACTTCTGTTATAGGTGCTTGTTTTTGTTATTTTGGGCCATAAAGTGTCATACTTAAATTAGGTTAAAAATTCTCTGAACCTTCTAAAGTAAAGCACTATTAAAATCATTTCTGTGCTAGTAAAATAGCTTCTGTGTCTCTTTTATAACTCATATACAACCCCTTAGCAATTGACTGCCTTCAAAGGCTATCTAGGATCCAACAGCTGGTTACCACTTTTGCCACTACCATCTGTTTCAGGTCACCCTCTCTTGTCTGGATTATTACAGTAGTCTCTTGATTCTGTCCTTGTTCTCCAGTCTTACCTTAACACACTGGCCAGTGATGCTGTTAAAATGTAAGTCAAGTCAGAGCCTTTCACATATATTCTGTTTCATTCAGAGTAAAAATTGAACCTTTACAGTGGCCTATAAAGCCCTACAGTGTCTCAACCCCCTTGACCTTTAAGCAGAGCTTACTCTGCTCCAGCTGTTGGCCTTGGTGTTTCTGCCACAGATACTCCATGCACACACCTCAGGATCTTTGTATTTGCTGTTTCCTTTCCTTGGAACATGCTTGCCCTCAGATACGAATAGGGCTTCCTGCCTCAATCTCTTTTAAATCTTTGTTCAAATTGAGGCCTGACTGGGCAGCAGTATTCAAAATGCAGCATTCTTTTGCTCGCTTACCTACTTCATTTTACAAAGTACCTACCAATTTGAGTATCTGACAATTTATTTTAAAAGAGTACAATTTATCAATTGTAGATAAAAACTGATAAGCTTTGTGGTTGTAAGTTTATTCTCATCATTTTTACATGTTAAAAGGTAGAAACTTATTTTATGTTGAACTAAGGGATAGATACTCTGATTTTAGGATAAGATTGGAGGTTTAGTGTTTATCAAAGGTCACCAAAAATGTTTGTTTTCTGAATTTCTGTAGGAAGGGACCATTATCTTAAGAGGTTAAAAGAATATTCATAAAAATCAGTCCAATACCTGTGGTGTTTTCACCATCACCTTTGAAGTTAAGCCTATGAATAAACAAGTTTTAAACAGTTCCAAATAAAAAGGAAATATTTCATAGAAAAATTAGGAGTGGGATGGGTATACTGATACAAACTTAAAGTAAAAAAATTTTGTTAATGCTAATGAGTGAGCTGTACATTTGAAAATCATGCAATAAAGTTTAAACACCAAGAACATAGAGTTTTTAAAAATTAATACTTTTGATACTTGCAGATAAGTGATTCTAAAGATGAATTTGTGGCACAATATTTGTATCCATCATGAGGCTAGGGGTCATTGCTAGCATAATACTGACACGTGGTGGTTTCTTAATAAATGTGTTTAATGAGGTCCTCAGTTTATGTGTTTACTGATTCATTCATTGATTAATTTATTTATTCAACAGGTATTAATAACGAACTGCCTTCCTAAGAAAGTGCTGATATAGAATATTATAATGATAATACAAGAACTTCTGTAAGTAGGACAGTAGCCCTCTATGTTTTTAAAGGGAGATATACTCCTGCCCCCTTCCATATGTAATTTTTTTCTTTTGGGGCAAACAATATTACATAAAGATTATTTAAATTTCAACACAATTTTAATCTTAAATTAGTTGCATTTTTCTTTTTTAATTTGTACTGATACCTACCTAATATTTTAAAGTATTTCCACTATTTTATTTGCTAAGTATATAAAATCATCCTGGGATTTACTTTACCTGTTAAGTTTTCTAAATATTTTCATTATACTGTGTTTTCTGAAATTGAAGTTTAGACTATAGAATACTGTGTTATCTTAATTTAATAAGTCAAGATAGCATTATGAGGAGAAATAGCTGTGAGCATGAAGAATGTACTTTCCTAAGACTTAAGACTAAGGAAATGTCTAATAAACAGGTGAAAGGATACTCAACCTCATTAGTGATTAGGGAAATACAAATTGAAACAGAGAGTATTTTTTTTGCATACCAGATTATTAGAAACACCAGCAATGATGAAAATAGGAGGAATATACAATACACTGATGGTGAGAATAGAAATTGTGTACTAGTTTTGGAGGATGATTAAGAGACAAAGTGTAGATGCATAGAGTACTAGTATTTATTATACAATTATTTGTATAGGTAAATGGGGGTATATTTCCAGTATATCTGAGAAAGTTTAATGTTTTGTAAGAGCTAAAATGTGTTGCCAGTCATCAGTGTTGGTTGAATAATTATGGTATATGTCTATATTATAATAGTTTACTGCACTATGGAGAATGGAATAAAACTATGAACTTACATGGAGAGCTATTTATGATAATGAGGAAGAAAATGCACATAACAATATAGTATGATTATATTGTTTACAGAAAAACAAAAGTTTATATATTAGCTTGTATATAGAAAGATATTTAGAAGAATACAGCGATATATACCAAACTGTTGGGATTAGGGGGCGAGGAAATGGAAGACATGCACTTTTTATCTTCTCTTCTGAAGGGTGAGTAAAACAATGTACAAAACATGAAAAAGCAAATAGACAAGCATATTTTAAAGACGTTTAACTCTGGACTCTTTCTGTTATAACACCTATTGGGGGAGGTTTTTTTTAGTGTATTACAGAAATACCTTCTGTTTAACAGATTTTTAGTGGCATCACTGGTATGGGATGAACCTACTTATTTTGGCTGATTTTTAAAATTGGAGCACAGAATCCTAGAACATTCTAACATTTGTCTACTTTTTCCAGTGGGGCAGAAAAGTCTTAGGTACTTTTGTTCACAAGACAGAATTAAGTTTAAGTAATAATGCCAGAAACTAAATGAAACGCAGTTCATAGTGTTCTTGTATTTTTAAAAATCAAGTTTTAACATCTGATTCTTGAAGTTCACTCAAGTGTGGCTAAGAGGTTTGCTTTTAAGTTAAAGAAAAATTATGGTTTTTTTTCTCATTGTCACAAATTGTATGTTCTCTTTATATTTGAGTGGTTACTATGTGACCTGATACATGGTTCCCCCCTTTCAGGTTTGTAGTTCACTGACACATTCATTTGTCCTTGAGGAACTCACCAACACTGAATCAACAAATACTTTGTAACTTTGTAAACTTAGTTTTCAGAGTGCTGAGTGTGTAAAAAAATGAATGCATCAGAATACTTTAAAAATAAATAAATAAAAACTGTTCTATACCTTCCTGGATTCTGAGTTTGGTTTAAAAAGATTCATTGATGTTTGGCATTTAATTTTTGGATATTAACTGAACCTCAAAATTTTTTTCTTCCTTTATATGTATTCCCATATGATTGTAGGAGTCTATCCTGAACTTAGATCGTGTACATTTTGGGAACTTATTTTAGAAAAGATCTAAGTTTTAAAAATTCTCAATGGACAGACAGAGAAAAGAGGGTCTTTGCCAACTCCTTTGGGTAAGAAAACTTTAGAATTTTGCAGATACTCTAAAAATGAAGGCCAACAAACCAGGCATATCAAATTGTAAAGTCTTCAAATAAAATGATTTGTCACGATTTTTTTCTTTAGACTGCTGCAGTAAGAATGTCTTTTCCCCCTCATTTGAATCGCCCACCCATGGGAATCCCAGCACTCCCACCAGGGATTCCACCCCCACAATTTCCTGGTTTTCCTCCACCTGTACCTCCAGGTAAGTTTGGGAATGCTCTTGTTTTTTTAAACTGTACTATTGTAATTACAATATTAGCTTTAGGAAAATTATGAGTTTGTTACTGTGTTAGTAGTAAAAATGTTTGTTAGCATCATTCTGGAGATGTAGATGTCTCATTTTCCTGTAACAGTAATTTTTATAGGTAGTTGGATATCATACTTACCTGAGAAGTTAAAAAAAATTTTTTTTAAAGATTTATTTATTTATTTATACAAGCACTGGGTATAGTCAGAAGCACGGGAGGGTGAGAGAATTCACCAGAGCCAGAGAGGGGAGCAGAGCAGGCAGAAGGATCGAAGTACACTGCTGAGGGGAGCAGCGGGGCGGCAGGAGAGGTCTGCGGCCATGTGGGACCCTCCTCTGGTGGCCGGGGAGCAGCCGGGGATCGAACCGGCGCTGCAAAGGCTGCGGGCAGCTTCGCAACCCTGCGCTCAACCACTGTGCCGCTGGGGAGGCCCAATTTTTTTATTTTTTAAAAAGGTGCAGTACATTCATTTGGTTCAAAAATAAAGATGTTCAGAAAGGTATATAGTGAAAAATTTCACATGCCTACTTTACTATTACTATTCTTTTAGTAAAAGAGAGCAACTGTAAATAAAAATTCTTTCATCCCTTAATTTTTTTTCTTTTAACACAGATAAATGGTAGCATCCTGTACATGCTTTTTGGTTCCTTGCTGTTTTGTATTTGACAGTATAGCTGGCGAGCTTTCCAAATCAGTATATAAAAATTCCCCCCTTTCCCCTACCCCAGTCCTATGAGGTTTTTCAGGTCTCATCCCAACCCTGCTGAATTAGATCCTCAGAATTTGGGACCCAGGAATCTTTAGTTTTAATAAGTTCATGAATAGGCATTCATTTAAGCATATTTAAGAGAATTCATATATAAAAACCACTATCTTGAGGTGTATAATTAATATTGCTTGGCCAAAGAGATAGTTTTCCTTTGCATATAGGTGGTAGCTTATATATTGTTGTTATTATATTTTTTTTAAGGATTTTTTTTTAAGATTTATTTATTTTTGTACAAGAGCTGGGGTACAGGCCAGAGGCGCAGGAGGGTAAGAGGATTCACCAGAGACAGAGGGGGAACAGAACAGGCAGACCGATGAAATACATTGCTGAGGGGAGCAGCAGGCAAGACAGGAGAGGTCTGCTGCGCCATGTGGTACCCTCGCTGGCTGACCGTGATTGAACCAGCGCTGCAGAGGCTGCGGACAGCTTCACAGCGCAGTGCTCAACCGCCTACATCAAGAGGGGAGGCCCTATTCTTACATTTTTTATTCTTATATTTTAATGGGATTAAAGCATTTCATGCAGAATCCCTCTTCCCCAAAAGAAGTCTCTATGAGCTCTCAATTTGCATATTAGGATTTTCTTTTGACATAGAATCTGTGCAATTCAAGTTGAAATCACCAAATGATCTTGTGAATTATCCAGATATATTTCTGTGTGAGGTAATATAAAACAGATCAAAGACCTGTTTTTTTAATCATTTGCTTATCTGAAATTACAGTGTTTTGCTAAAGAGCTTAAGTGTTGCAAAATCAAAAACTACCTTGCAGTTGGCTGGTATGGTGGGTTAATTCATAACATGTACATTACCAAGAGATTATAAAGAGCAGAACTGTCTTTAATTTGAAATCAACTGCTAAATTTTTTTTTTTTTTTTTTTTTTTTTTTAATAGAGGCATGCTTTATTTATTTGTTTGCTGGTTTGTTTGTTTTGTTCTGTTCATACATGCACTGGGTACAGTCAGAAGCGCGGGAGGGTGAGAGAATTCACCAGAGCCAGAGCGGGGAGCAGAGCAGGCAGAAGGACCGAAGCACACTGCTGAGGGGAGCAGCGGGCGGCAGGAGAGGTCTGCACGCCATGTGGGACCCTCCTCCGGTGGCCGGGGAGCAGCCGGGGATCGAACCGGCGCCGCAGAGGCCGCGTGCAGCTTCGCAACCCAGCGCTCAACCGCTGCGCCACCGGGGAGGCCCAACTGCTAAATTTTTAATTTTGAATTTGTTTACTACCATAAACTTAGCTTTGGGCCTCCTACCCATAAATCAAGTACACAGTATGAAAAATCATAAAATAAACATGGTAGTTTTTATGAAATATTAAAAACTTAAAGAGTTTGACAGTAAATCCTAATATTAAAAATAAGAGTTATTATGCTTGTATATTATTATAATTGCAATATTTATAAAAAGAACAGCGGTCTAGGCCAGAGGCACAGGGGGTGAGAAGATTCACCAGAGACAGTGGGGAACAGAACAGGCAGACTGACTGAAATACACTGCTGAGGGGAGTAGCAGCAAGGCAGGAGAGTCTGCTGCACCATAGGGGTTAGCTCCCTGGCTGGTATCGAACTCATGCCGCAGTGGCTGGTGATAGCTTGATAGCACTGAGACTTTAAAAGTGTATGATGATGAATACTATATCAAATTATTACTGGTAAATGGGACATGTTTCTCTTAAGTCTCCTCCCTATTAAGATGGGTTACTAGATCCCAAACTCAGATTTTCGGTATATCTTGTTGCATGTTTAGTCAGTGCCATGCTTAACATGGGCATTTATTCACAGTGGTTATGCTGTTAAATAATTTTGATTCCACTTGTAAAAGAGTACAGTATCATTCTGCTTAAGGAAAAATACCTGGTTGATAAATCATATTTTAATTACAGCTCATTTTCTACATGCATTCTGTGTGTAGCATCAGTACTTTGAAAGGTAAATGAAGAAGTATGCTGAACTAGAGCAATAATGCAAACCACGTTATCCATTTTCATCTATAATTTTCTTGCCTCCTCATGTAGTTACTTGAACTTTAATTGCTATGTGGTATTTGCATTTAAATTAGAAAATTGGGGCCTCCCTGGTGGCGCAAGGGGTTGAGTGCAGCGCTGTGAAGCTGTCCGCAGCCTCTGTAGCGTGAGTTTGATCCCAGGCCAGGGAGTGACACATGGTGCAGCAGACCTCTCCTGACTCGCCCGCTGCTCCTCTCAGCCGTGTACTTCTGTCAATCTGCCTGTTCTGTTCCCCATTCTGTCTCTGGTGAATCCTCTCACCTCCCACACCTCTGGCCTATACCCCAGTTCTTGTAATCATAAATAAATAAAAAAAAAAACTTGAAAAAAATTAGAAAATTGAAGAATAGGTACAAATTTTTCCATACAAAGGAATGTGTGCATATGGAAAAAGGAAGTTTTTTCCTCCACAGTTTCTTAGATTTCTTGTTCCCAAAGATAGCCTTTCTCACCAGTTTCCAGAGTATCTGATATATGCCAAGCATATCCAGTTACAAATGGAAGTAGAATGAAGTGGACATTCTCTTAAGCCTTCTCTCTCTCTCTCTCTCTCTCTCTGTTTTTTTAAAGATTTATTTATTTATGCATTCAAGAACTGGAGTACAGGCCAGAGGTGTGGGGGTGAGAGGATTCACCAGAGACAGAGTGGGGAACAGAGCAGGCAGATGTACTGAAACATTCTGCTGAGGGAAGCAGCGGCAAGATAAGGGAGGTCTGCTGAGCCTTGTGGGTCGCTCCCTGTCTGGGGATTGAACTCATGCTGCAGTGGCTGCAGATAGCTTCATAAGTTGTGCCTTAACCCCTTGTGCCACCAGGGAGGCCCTTAAGCGTTCTTTTAAGGCTGTTCCCTTCATCTCCGTTTTTGGTTATGTTTTCTCTTTTCTCATTTTTTAAAATTCAACCAGTAACACATTTGACATTTTGTGTTTTTTTCCCCTTTAGTATGCATCACTTTTGTGTCTTTGTAATGAGTAGTAATACATTCTACATTTCATAAAATTAGAAGTTGAGGTAGGAAACATTAAACTTTTGATAACTTAAAAGGAAAAAAGTTTTCTTTAACAGTTTCTCTTTCTTGTATGTTTTCTTTAATAAAAGTTTGCCTATGGGAGAGATTCCACATGGATTACCGTTGGTAAACAGCAGAACATTTGTTCATTGGTTTGCAAAGTTAAAAGTGAAATTTAGATTCAAGTTGATTAAGCATCCACTATATTTAAGTGCTCTGCATTTAATCTCATGGGCACTCTGAGGAAATAATTACCTTACTATAATTGAGGCAACTGAACCTGAGGTTAAATCACTTACTAAAGGTTACAGAGCTAAAAGCATAGACCTCAGATTTGAACCCAGATTTGGTTCTGAAATTATATAATTTCTATTGTGTACAGCTTTTGGTAGGCTTATTGAATCTTGATTATTAGCTTTAAGAATTCTTGTAAAAACCTTGAAGTTGGGGCCTCTCTGGTGGCGCAAGGGGTTAAGACACAACCTATGAAGCTGTCCGCAGACACTGCAGCATGAGTTCGATCCCCGGCCAGGGATTTACCCACATGGTGCAGCAGACCTCTCCTGACTTGCCCACTGCTCTCCTCAAAAGTGTAATTCAGTCAATCTACCTGTTTTGTTCCCCACTCTGTCTCTGGTGAATACTCTCACCCCTCACACCTCTGGCCTGTACCCCAGTTCTTGTATGTATAAATAAATAAATCTTTAAAAAAAAACAAAACCTTGAAGTTATAAGTTACATTAGAAATAAATGGATAGTGTTAAATCTTTAAAAATTGACCACTCTTAGAATTACCTTAAATTGATGCTAAATTTGAACTGAAGAGCAATGTCAGAATTTCTTGTTATATTTAGAATTGTTTTAAAATTTATGAGTGTAGTAGACAAATATCACTGATTTTCCCTATTGTAACATTTATCTTAGTTCTCAAATGGTAAGATTTTTTTCATTAGTTATATGAACATGCACAGCACCTACTATTAGTAAACAGTGTAATTGAAAACAAAAACACAGATTCCTTTAAAATGTCAAAAGTAGGTGGTAACCCATTGATAACTCTCAGAGCTATAAGTTCTTTTCTTAGATTTTCTCTTTGACAATGACCAAAATTAATGATCTTATTTCTTGTATGATATTTGTTTTTATTTTTTTTAAAGATTTATTTATGTATGCATATAAGAACTAGGGTATAGGTCAGAGGTGTGTGGGGGCGGTGAGAGGATTCACCAGAGACAGAGTGGGGAGCAGAACAGGCGGATCTACTGAAATACACTGTTGAGGGTAACAGTGATCGAACTCATGCTGCAGTGGCTACAGATAGCTTCATAGGTTGGTCTTAACCCCTTGTGCCACCAGGGAGGCTCGATACTTGTTTTTATTAAAGAATTGGGAGTAACAAGATCTTCCTTGGTTTCCAGATTACTATCTCACTTCATAATTTTTTTTTAAGTTTTAAAGGCTTTGTTTTTACCTTTAACGGAGTCATTAATGCCATTGTTGACCAGGCAAATCTATATTTTTGAAAAGAGCTGACTTTGAGGATATACCAAAACAAATGAACATGAATCAATAACCGCAGAATTTGAGACTTCTAAAAGCAATAAACATGTTGTGGTAGATTTTTCACTTTCTCAGTAGTTTTTGTTGTATGCAAATTAATACACACCTATGCCATTGGTTTTGAAAACAAAGCATCAGTATCTTGTTTTTTTTAGTCTACATTTCCATTTATAGTAATTATGAGTGAGGTACTTATTTTTATGATGTGTCGTTGATAGAGGATTGAATAAAATACTATTCTTAAGATTCATGCTTTTTTCTTAGGGACGCCAATGATTCCTGTACCAATGAGCATTATGGCTCCTGCTCCAACTGTAAGTATAATTTTAAGGAGGAATTAAGTGTTACGGTTGTGCTACTTTTAGCTTTTAAAGTTGAAAAACTTGATAAGCGTAAGCTAAATTATTTGAAGTGTTAAGGAACAATGCTTGTGTATCATACTGCTTACTGAATTTACTTGCCTATCCATATTATGCAATTATTTCTAAAATATGCCACTTGGATACTTTTATGATTTAGGTCTAGACCCTTTATCTCTAGACTCTTCATATATTTGTAATTTTAGATTTAGAATGCTGGCTCTCATCATTCCCTTATCTTGGTCCTGTGAGTTAGGGGAATGATCTAACATGTCTGATTGCTTAAAAGGGGGGAAAAAAGACTGCAGGAAATGATTCTAGCAGAAATTTAAATGTTGAAGTGAACTGGTGTTGAACACCTTCATAACTACCTAGTGTTTAGCACCTTCCAAACTTTTTTCTGCCTTCCAGTGTGATACCTTCAAGCATTGTGAAGTTTAATTGAAGTCTTTTTTCTATTAAAGTGGTCTACAAACAGCTTGAACCTTAATTCTCCACAACTTTCAAAGCTGTTTCTGTATACTCTAAGCAATTATTTAAGAATGCTAATATAATACAATATACAAAAATAAATAATTCTGTTAACTGTTATTTAACCAGAATTTTTCTTTGAGTCAATTGGTATCATACTTCGCTTGGAATTTCATTATGGGGGAGAATAGATCGCATTATTTTCAGCTAATTTTTTTTTTCCTACCATTGAGTTTTGAAAAAAGAGGGGAGTGTTGGTTTTCATGTTAAAAGGGAGCTGGGAACTCTGGGTAAAAAGGAATGCTGAGACAGACCACTAAGAAGATAACAGTCCTGCAGAGCAAGGGTAAGTCCTGCTCTTCTGCGTTGGACACCACCTGTGTGGCTATTTTGTAAAAGTTGCACATGACAGGTACTCTTCCTCTTGCATTTCATCCTAAGAGATAGGAATTGGTTTCTGAGCAACTTCTCCAGTTCATCACTATTATTTAGTGCCTATTGTGGATTATTTGCTAAACTCAGTATCAGATAAAAAATTGAGTAAAGCTGTCTGTTTCTTCCCCTGTGAAGTTGAAAGTTACTGGGGGGTGGGTAAATAAGATATAAGCAGGTAATTGATAAAAAGGAAAATTTAAGTGCAAGTAGAGGGCTATGAGAGTGATAATGCTACAAGAGGGTTAGCAGATATGATTGAAAGTTGCTTTCAGTGTAGAATACAAACAAAGAAAAATCAAGACATTTTGAGAATTTAAAATGGTTTAAATGTCTTAGACATAAAAATAACTTGAGATATTATTTTTATTTGCTTTTCCTAGTTTTTATACAAAAACAGTGAAATGTCATTTCTCGCAAATAAGTTTACATTAATGAAAATAATGTGTGCTTCAAGACCTTTAGATTAAGTATGTAGCAGAACCTTTAATAATAATGTACTATGTGTTTACTATTTTAAAATTGATGTTTTTCATCTAATTAAACTTGATAGATTTAATTACCAAATGAAATTTTATTGATTTTTTTCACTGTAGGTCTTAGTACCCACTGTGTCCATGGTTGGAAAGCATTTGGGAGCAAGAAAGGATCACCCAGGCTTAAAGGCTAAAGAAAATGATGAAAATTGTGGTCCCACCACTACAGTTTTTGTTGGCAACATTTCTGAGAAAGCCTCAGACATGCTTATAAGACAGCTTCTGGCCGTAAGTTAAACTTTATTTTTCTTTAAAAATTTCTGTTACAATTTTTAAACTTAAGAAAAAGCAGGAGGGTTCTGAATAATTCAATATTTTTTATTTTGAAAGTATGTAATGCTGTAGAAATGTTGAACGACCTGTAAAGTGAACGTCCTTGTGACACATTTTGCTACATTTACTTTCTATATGTACAAACTACTTGCACACACTTTTTTCCTGAATAATTTGAAAGTAAGTTAATGACATGCCATTTTTACCTCTGAATATTTCTTGCATCTCCTTAGACTAAGAACATTTCTACTGCGTCATCACAGACCATTATCACACCTAAGGAGTTTAAAGCTGATGCGGTATTACCAGCCAGTATACATATAGCTTATATTTATTTCCCAACAGTTTTCATAATAGGTATTTTTTTATTTTGGTCTTTAATACAGTTAAGGATTATACATTACATTTGTCACCCCCTCTCTAGTCAGCTTCTTTAATTTTGTTAGCCTTATTGTTTACCTGTTTTTTTTTAAGATTTATTTTTATTTATTCATCCATTTATTTATTTACTTTTGCAAGTACTGGGTACAGTCAGAAGTGCGGGAGGGTGAGAGAATTCATCAGAGCCAGAGCGGGGAGCAGAGCAGGCAGAAGGACTGAAGTACACTGCTGAGGGGAGCAGCGGGCGGCAGCCATGTGGGACCCTCCTCCAGTGGCCGGGGAGCAGCCTGGGATCGAACCGGTGCTGCTGAGGCTGCGGGCAGCTTTGCAACCCAGTGCTCAACCACTGTGCCACCAGGGGAGGCCCTACATGCGCATTGTTAAGTAGAATAAATACTGATTGTATAATGAGAAAAGACAATGCCTGGATTTACTACCTCCATAATCTCATCTATTCTTTAAAGAAGTTATTTATAAATCTTTCCCCTCTTCATCTTATAAGTAATGCACTTGATTGCCATATCTGTTTTATAAATTTTACAGTCCTTAGGGGCCTCCCCTGGTGGCCCAGCCGTTGAGCGCTGGGCTGCAGAGCTCTGGTTTGTTCCCCGGCCGCCGGTGAGGGTCCCACCAAAAAAAAAAAAATTTTTTTTACAGTCCTTACATTAAGTGTTTAGAAAACGTAGTACCCACAAAACCTAGCTTTGTCAGATTTTAGTATTTTGTGGTACTAGCTTCAGAGTTTTTTCCCCAAAAGAAATAAAACATTGCAATTGAAGACCCTAAATCTGATTTCTTCATTCCACAGAATTATAACAAGTCAAAGGTAACCAACTATCCTATATTTGGTATTTACCATTCTTGTGCATATATTTTACTTCAGTTATATATTTACAATTTATATTTATAATTTATATTCCTAAAAGTTATATTGCTGATAATATATCTTCCTGGTGAAAAAATGTTTTTTCATGTGTTCTTTTAAAATAGGAATTTCTGAGTTATAGTATTTGCTAATCTTCAGATTTATAAGAAAATGCCAGTTTTTTCCCAAAATGGAACATTGAGGGCATTTTAAAAACATCTTTAGTGATATAATTTCTATGCCATAAAAGTTACTCTTTTATACTGTACAATTCAGTGATATTTAGTATAGTCAGAAAATTTTATAAACATCTCCCCTAATAGTTCCAGAATATTTTCATCATCCCAAATAGAATGGGATGATGTACTGTACTTGTACTAACTGTACTTGTACTGTACTGTATTTGTGCAGTACTGTACTGTACTATTCTGTACTTGCACTAACTGAGTCCTTTTTCATTCTCCACTCCTCTTTGCTCTGGCAACTACCATTCTACTTTCTTTCTCTTGATTTGCCTATTCTGAATATTTTCTACAAATAGAATCATACACTATGTGGTCTTTGTGATTTTCATGTAGCATTAAGTTTCCAAGGTTAATCACTGATGCAGTTTGTGTGGGTATTTCATTCCTTTGTATGGCCAAATGTCTGTTTAATGAATAGACTTCGTTTTGTTATCTGTTCATCAGATGATGACCAATTGGTGAATTTCCACTTTTGGGTTATATGATTGCTGGTGAATATTCGTGCATTCATCTAAATGTATATATTATCAACCTGAAAAGTCCTTCTAAATATGTATATTTTCAATTGAAACATTGTCTGTGTTCAGCAAGAAATTTTTTTTAAGATTTATTTATTTATACATATAAGAACTGGTTTGTAAGCCAGAGGCGTGGGGGGCAAGAATATTCACCAGAGAGTGGGGAACAGAACAGGCAGATCCACTGAAATACACTGCTGAGGGGAGCAGCATGCAAGACAGGAGAGAAAGGTCTTTTGTGCCAAATGGGTTGCTCTCTGGCCAGCCAGATATCGAAAAAGCCATGCATTCTCAGCTTTGAGAGGTGATCTTGCTTTTCACAAATACTGTTTTACTTTTTACTTTAATAATTAGAAATAATATTTAAAAACTGGAAATAATAAGTCCCATCCTTTAGACAATCTGTCCAGATGATATTTGGGGGTATTTCCATTCATTTTATGCATCTTTTTTCCTATTACATAGGACTCTTTTTTTAAAAGATTTATTTATGCATACAAGAACTGGGGTACAGGCCAGTGGTGCAGGGAATGAAAGGATTCACCAGAGACATGTGGGAACAGAACAGGCAGACTGATTGAAATACACTGCTGAGGGGAACAGCGGGTGAGACAGGAGAGGCCTGCTGCGCCATGTGGGTTGCTCCCTTGCTGGCCGGGGATCGAACTCGTGCTGCAGAGACAGGCTTGCTTCATAGTGCACTTCATAGTGCAGTGCTTAACCCCTTGCGTCACCAGGGAGGCCCAAATTTTGTTTTTGTTAAACTAATTTGTATATATTGGCGGACTGTGGTGATGGTGCATGGGTGCCTTGGGGAAGGAGATTCTATGGGGACTCAATCTGAGGAGATTCTGTAGGGACTCAATTGAAGCAAATATTGTCTAAAAAAATGTAAAAAAAGATAAATGTTAAAAATTTGTATATATTTCATGTAATAGGAGAATTGGGAGTATTTTAATGGACACTTAGTTGCTGGTTTTACCTTTTTTATTTTGGTTCTATTTATTTCCTACTAGAACTGTTATAGTACTCTTATTCAGATTACAAATGAGTTAATTTTGTTAAGTAGTAACAACTTTCTTTTTTCTTTTTTTTTTTTTTTTAAAGAAATGTGGTTTGGTTTTGAGCTGGAAGAGAGTACAAGGTGCATCTGGAAAGCTTCAAGGTAGGTCATTATTTTTCCATTTTGATTGAAATAACTTTAACTCATACGCATATTTCACATTTTGTATCTTTTGCTCTTATTGTCCTTATTAACATTTGTCTCTTGAAATAAGATTAAAGGCAACTGGGAAAATGTTGGATGAGAGTTAAGATTAGAAAGTATTGCAGGAAGGTGGTAGGAAAAGGGAAAAGAATTATTGCGACTAACTGGTTTCTTTTTTTTTTTTTTAAAGATTTTATTTATTTTTTTCATAGAAGAACTGGGGTGTTTTAGGCCAGAGGTGTAAGGCGGGTGAGAGGATTCACCAGAGACAGATTGAGGAACAGAACAGGCAGACTGACTGAAATACACTGCTGAGGGGAGCAGCGGGCAAGACAGGAGAGGTCTGCTATGTAATATGTGGGTTAGCTCCCTGGCCAGGGAATCAATGATAGTGCTGAGACTTAACCTCTAGACCACCAGTTAGGCCCCGAGACTAACTGGTTTCTTACAACTTTAATAAGTCCTTTTTCTCTCAGGGCAGGAGTGTATAAGTAAGATGAACCAAATTAAGAAGAAAGTGGGAGATAATATATGATGACCTCTTAGTCTTGAAAGCTGTCCTTTTCATACTAATTGGTAAAATACCTGTTTGATACATATTTTTAAAAGCTTTTTATTATAAAATTAATACATATATAAAAATAAGAACAATTATGATAAACTCCCATGAATTCTTCGCCAAATCTTAACATTTACTCACGTCCAGTTGTGCTTCACCTGTACCGTACATATTTCTCAGAAAAAGCAAGTCCAAAGCACCATGTCATTTTATATGTAATTATTTTGGTTGGTTCTCTAAAATATAAGTAAGTGTGTGTGTATGTGTATGTTTTTTAAACTACAGGACATCCGCTATTTTTTTTTTTAAAGATTTATTTATTTATGCATATAAAAGCTGGGGTGCAGGCCAGAAGTGCAGGGTGGGGGGGGGCCAGGATTCACCAGATACAGGGTGGGAGCAGAACAGACGAATTGACTACACTACAGAGGGGAGCAATGGGCGAGTTAGGAGAGGTCTGCTGTGCTCTGTGGGTTAGCTCCCTGGCCGGGATCGAACTTGTGCTGCAGTGACTGCCAATACTTTGATAGTGGTGAGACTTAACCCCTTTCACCACCAGGGAGGTCCAAGATAAGTGCTTTTAGAAATACATATCCTAACTGATTGGAATTCTTCCTTTCCCTGTTTTTGTTTTCTCTTTTTTCTTTTGGTTGTTTGGTGGTGCTGAAAGGGAAATCCTTGTCAAAGGTAATTGAAGGAAAGGGGGAGGATTAATAACATGAATAATCCTTAAATTACAACGTTTGGTCTCTTAATGATTTTAACTTTTATAAATATTTTTCATTTTTCAAAATGGCTTTGATATTTCACTGATTCTTTACATTCATTGCTAGCCTTTGGATTCTGTGAGTACAAGGAGCCTGAATCTACCCTCCGTGCACTCAGGTTATTGCATGACCTGCAGATTGGTGAGAAGAAGCTACTTGTTAAAGTTGATGCAAAGACAAAGGCACAATTGGATGAATGGAAAGCAAAGAAGAAAGCTTCTAATGGGGTATGTTTTGTATTGTGTTGTCTTCCCTAGGCCACCTGTACTCCTTCAGTGTATTGCTCATTATTAATCAATCCAATATGGGACTTCACAAGGTCATCATCATCATTATGATATGTGCTTATGGCTAAAATGCAGGAGGGTGTTTTATAGTTTATAATTATTTTAAGTCTTTTATCTACCCATAGTGGGTGGGTGACTGTTGGTTTGCTTGTTCCAGGTTGGGATGAAGGTAGTAAGGGAGACTGGATAAGGTTAACTTGCCAGAGAAAACACTGGTACAGACTATTCCAAACAGAGCTAATTCATTAAGGCAGCTTTGTAAGTAAGTACAAAATATATTTCAACCTACACAATTTTTTCTTAGTTGCCCTCTCATTTTGAAGTACACAGATTCTAAAATAAGTGAAATTGAGTCATTCTTTTCCCCTGAAGCTCTAAAGTAAAGGAATTTTTTTTTTGGTTTGTTATGTTGTATGCTTCATTACTGCTTTCAACAAAATGAAAAATAGCTAAAACCTGCATTTATATTTCCTTGTGTTTTCTTCCTAGTTTCTTTTGGCACCTCAAGGTAAACAGATTCAATAGATTTTTACCTACCTGTCTATAAAAGCAGAACAGTATTTTTGCTCTCTTCAGGCTTTAAATCAAAGTACAGTTTTCTTGGTTCTACCTACTCCCTCTTTTACAATGAAGTATGTTTTTGTAAAAAAAAAAAATTAAAGCAAGCTATAAAGAAGCTAAGCAACACTTATAAAATCACTGTTAGTAACCATTGTAGACATTTTTTTTTAAAGATTTATTTATTTATGCATACAAGAGCTGGGGCATAGGCCCAGAGGTGTGGGGTGGGGGATTATGTGTGAGAGATTAAATTCACCAGAGACAGAGTGGGGAGCAGAACAGGGGGGATGACAAACATGTGGCTGAGGGGAGCAGCAGGTGAGACAGGAGAGGTCTGGCTGTGCCATATGGGTCAGCTCCCTGGCCAGGGATGGAAGTCACGTTGCTGTGGCTGCCGATAGCTTCGTGGTGCTGAGATATAACCCCTTGTGCCACCAGGGAAGCCCCACCACTGTAGACATTATTACTGCATATTCTTCCAGGCATTTTTCTCCATGTGAATGAGTTGTTTTAATTAGAATGCACAGATTTGTTTTTCTCTTACAAAGTATGAAATTGAATTTTAAGCATTGTTTATTAACAGCTTGTTTCCATATTTAACTTTCCTTGGACTTTTAATAATATTTTAACTGATGTCTCTGATTTAGTTGCCTTTTTTTGACTACTAGAGTATTGCCTATATTTCTAAAACTTAAGTATAATTATGTTATGCCCCTGTTCAAGCATCCTTAATGCTTTTGTATCTCTTATAGAATAAAATCCTTACTCTTAAAATGGCATTCAAGCTTTGCTCCAATACACCTTTCTAGATTCCCTGGCCTCATACCAGTGCCTTAAAATCTTCTTTTGAGGTTTGTTAATAGCTCATTTCCTTGTTGCTCTTCCAAATTCCCTCTTGAAATTCTATCCAAATGGTTACAATTAAAGTGTTCCTTGTTTTATTTGTTCGTAAGTCCTACCCCTTTTCCTTCACAGATAGAATTAAATCTTCCCTTCCCATATAAGGCAGGTTTTTACTGCTGTGTCAGTTTGCTTTTTTTCTATGCATGTTTGTATTGCTCTCACAACTTCTTGTATCCTGTTTCCTTCCTATATCCTCGCCCCACAGCATCCCCCATTATAAGATAAGAAACAGTGGTGATTCAGACTCTCTCTCTATTAACCTTGTTACCTCCATAGCACTGAGGACAATGTTTTGTCCATAGCAAGAATGGAATGAACATTTACTGTTAACAATTGCAGTATAATTGCTCACTGATAACCTTACTATCCTTTCCTGGCTTTATAAAGAAATAAACAATTTCTCTAGAGTATAAGTTGTATCTCACATCAGCAGTATTGCCTTTCATGTCACTAAAATCTTAGGAAAAACAGCTGCCTGTGCAAGACTTTTCAGATTTTCCTTGCAGTGATAACTGAATTTTAATTTAAAACAAACAAGTATTCAGTGTCTTTGAAGTTATTTGTATGATTCCCTGGGCCTCCTTGTTTTATTGTCTAATCATTAACATGTGAAATGGTATTATTTGTAGCATTTGCAGGTGTACTCTCAACATGAATAATCAGTTTACTATATATTTATACAAATTTATTCAAATAAATAATTCATATTTATTATAAGAGGAAACACTAAATCTGTTTATACCTTTCATTAAGAATGAAACTGAAACCTACAATAAAAACATAACAATTCTTTTAGATAAAGTGAAATCTTAAAAAATTAATAGACATGACTTCTGGGTATAGTTGTGCCCAGACGTACTTGAAGTCACAAGACAAACATGACGTATTTTCCTGGAATGTAAATTTTACTCAACAGTATTGGTGGCAAAATGAAAAGGTTGAGCAACTCCATCATATAAAATGATGTTTTTCAAATAACAGGCAAATATAACTTCATGGTGCAGTGGATTGCAGATTTACCATGATTTTTTTCACGGTAAATATGAAAGGGTGCTTATTCTTTCTCTTGTTTTGTTGATTAGTTGAAGAAATGTTAGAAAACAGTATTTTAAGGTAGATTATGAGATTGAGATTTTGAGAAACTTCCATTTTACTTTATCCCGGGGTGTCTTCTGACTCCCAGTCAGAAGAGGAGCACAATTAATTACATCGATATCCTTGACTTAAAGGAACAGGAATTTGGAAAGAGGATGAGATATTTTTCAAGATCCACTATTTTTTTTTTTTGATCCACAAATTTAAAAGGAATTATGTGTCTTACATATTTGAGAAGTTTTTATTTAAATTTTGCAGAATTTATAGAAGCAACTTGTTCATCTTTTTATAGTAATAATGTTTCATTTAAGGTAGCCATGCAGATCTAGCTCATGTTCTTTTGCTTTCTGGCTGTTCAGCAATAGCCATGTAGTAGAGATAGCTCGATTGTCATAAGTAGTGGTTTGTTCTAGAATGAATCTGGCAACTGTTGGAAGTACAGTAATCTCTGGAAAGAGCCACTTGCATTGCATTTTAATGGGAGGCAGTTGCTGCAGGTAGTAACATCTTCACGTTTTTGCCTGGAAATTAGTCTCGCTGAGAGAGACTCTGCATTTGCTTAAGTTCCACAATGCCAATGAGTAAGCCCACAGCTGTTTTTCAACTTTACAATCAGTAGCTTTACTATTTAATTCCTCTGACGAGAGCCCAGTAGGTGGGCAACATAAATATCTCAGATTTTCTGTTGATATTTGTGATTCCCCTTGTACTGTTAAGCCCTTTACCTTGCTGCTCCTTAATATTGAATGTGCATTTTATGTTTTTAAAGTGGAGGAGAAAATGAAATAAAAAAATCTTATTCATGGTTGAGGATCCAGAGGTAGAATTTAAGCTGATGTTTGGTCAGTCTATGGAATGGGATCTCTAACCAACTGGAGTGTGGGTTCAAATAGTGTCCTAGGAGCCACAATTTCAGTTACAAGTTACTGGAGGTCAATTGTGTAATTTAAAGCCCGTGGAGAAAAAAAAAAATACAACCTATAGAGAGACAGATAATCATTGAAAGAATTTTAGTGAGAGCTGCATAAAAACCTGTGATAACATTATTAAGAGTGAGAAAGAAACACAACTCCACAATTATAGTGATAAATTTTTTAGAAGTTATGTGCACTGAGGTAATGTTGATTATTTTTTTTAACAACACAGTGTATGTTTTAGGGGTTACAGGTTCACACCTCTACAAGTGTTGGTGGTTTTTTTTTTTTTTTAAGATTTTTGGCGGGGGGTGCATAGAAGAGCTGGGGTGTAGGCTAGAGGTGCAGGGGTTTGAGAGGATTCCCTCAGAGACAGAGTTGGAGCAGAACAGGCAGATTTACTGAAATGCAGTGCTAAGGGGGAGCAATGGGCGAGACAGGAGGGGTCTGTTGCGCTGTATGTGAGTTTGCTCCTTGGTTAGGGACTGAACTCAGGTCACAGAGGTGATAGCACTGAGACTTGACCCCTCGGCCACCAAGGAGGCCCTTCAGGTATATCTGTCCATCATCAAAATCCCAGTAACCTTCCACCATGATCCATTAGGGCTTCTCTTTACTCCCACCCTCCATCCTTCTCTGATAGTCTCAGTTCTGCAGATTTCAAGGCTTTGTTTTGATTTAGTTTTGTTCCTTTGTTTTGTTTCTCTATATTCCATATGAGTGAAGGAGTCTGGTATATGTCTTTCACTTTCTGACTTATTTTCTTAGCATTATCCTTTCTAGTTCCATTCATTTGACAAAATAGCAAGGTTTTCCTCCCTTTTTATAGCTGAGTAGTATTCCATTGTGTATCTGTAATACATCTTCTTTATCCATTCATCTATCTTTGGGCATTTAGATTGTTTCCAGAGCTTGGCTAGTGTAAATAGTGCAACAGTGAACTTAGGAGTACATAATATCCCTTGCAGTTAGTGTATTCTTCAGGTAGATACCCAGAATATGGATTCTTGGACCAACTGGTAAATTTGTTTTTAATGTTTTGAGAAAAACCTCCATACTTTGCCATAGAGGCTAAACTTGTCTACATTCTCACCAGTACTGTCATTTCTTTTTTTCTTCACATGGTCACCAACATTTGTTATTTCTGGTTAATATGGGTCATTCTATAGGTGTAAGAGTGGTAGCTCTTAGTTGTGATTTGCATTTCCTGATAAATGACAACCATTTTCTCTTGTGTTACGCACTTGTATGTCTTTGGAGAAGGTGTCTGTTTAGCATTTCTGCCCATTTTTTGATTGGGTTATGTTGTGTGAGTTCCTTTGTTTATTTTGTGTGTTGATTTTATAGCCTACCAGTTTATGGATTTATTTTTTCTATTAGTTTTTTTAGTGGGATTATTAGGGTATTCTTTGTATATTAAATGCAGATACACCATATCATCTGCAAATAGTGATAGTTTTACTTCTCTTCCTATTTGGATAGTTTTTATTCCTTTCTCTTGCTTAATTGCTTTAATTAGAATTTCCAATACTGTGTTGAATAGTAGTGTTGAAAGTGGGCATCCTTTCCACGTACCTGCTCTTAGAGGAAAAGCTTTTAGTTTTTCACCATTGAGTATGATGATATTTGCCATGGCTTTGTTGCGTATGGCCTTTGATGTATTGAGGTATATTCCTTCTATTCCTATTTTGAGTGTTTTTTAAAAATCATAAATCGGGCCTCCCTGGTGGTGCAGCGGTTGAACGCTGGGCTGCGAAGCTGCCCGCAGCCTCCACAGCGCCGGTTCGATTCCTGGCCACTGGCGATGGTCCCACATGGCACGCAGACGTCTCCTGCCTCTCCTGCTGCTCCCCTCGGCACTGTGTTTCGTCAGTCTGCCTGTTCTGTTTCCCGCTCTGGCTCTGGTGAATTCTCTCACCCTTCCGCGCTTCTGACTGTACCCAGTGCTTGTATAAATAAATAAATAAATCTTTTTAAGTTTTTATTTATTTATTTTTTTAAACAGGCATGTTTTTATTTATTTATTTGTTTGTTTGTTTTGTTTACACATGCACTGGGTACAGTCAGAAGCGCGGGGGGGGGGGTGAGAGAATTCACCAGAGCTAGAGCGGGGAGCAGAGCAGGCAGAAGGACCGAAGTACACTGCCGAGGGGAGCAGCGGGCGGCAGGAGAGGTCTGCGTGCCATGTGGGACCCTCCTCCTGTGGCCGGGGAGCAGCCGGGGATTGAACCGGCACCGCAGAGGCCACGGGCAGCTTCGCAACCCAGCGCTCAACCGCTGCCCCACCGGGGAGGCCCCAATAAATCTTTTTTAAAGAATCATAAATCGATGTTGGATCTTGTTAAATGCTTTCTTTACATCTATTGCTATGATCACATGACTCCCCCCCCCCTTTTATTGATGTGGTGAATTATATCAGTGATTTTCTGGTATTAAACCAGCCTTGCATCTCTGGAATAAACACTTGCTCATGATGTATGATCCTTCTAGTGTATTGTAGTAATGATTTTGCATGTATATTCATGAAAGATACTGGTCTATGGTTTTGTTTGGCTTTCTGATATTGTCTCCTTTTGGCATGAGGGTAGTGTTGGCTCCAAAAATGTATTTGAAACTGTTGCTTCTTTTTTTGGAAGAACTTGAGAAGGATAGATTAGTTAAAAATACATATTTTTTAAGATTATTTCATTTATTTATACAAGCACTGGGTACAGTCAGAAGCGCAGGAGGGTGAGAGAACTCACCAGAGCCAGAGCAGGGAACAGAGCAGGCAGAAGGACTGAAGTACACTGCTGAGGGTAGCAGCAGGCAGCAGGAGAGGTCTGCACGCCATGTGGAACCCTCCTACGGTGGCCGGGGAGCAGCTGGGGATTGAGCCAGCGCTGCAGAGGCTGCGGGCAACTTTTCGCAACCCAGCGCTCAACCGCTGCGCCACCAGGGAGGCCCATTAAAAATATTTTTGATAGGGCCTCCCCGGTGGCGCAGCGGTTGAGCGCTGGGTTGCGAAGCTGCCGGCGACCTCTGCGGCGCCGGTTCGATCCCCGGCTGCTCCCCGGCCACCAGAGGAGGGTCCCACATGGCGCGCAGACCTCTCCTGCCGCCCGCTGCTCCCCTCAGCAGTGTACTTCGGTCCTTCTGCCTGCTCTGCTCCCCGCTCTGGCTCTGGTGAATTCTCTCACCCTCCTGCGCTTCTGACTGTACTCAGTGCATGTATAAACAAAACAAACAAACAAAAAACAAACAAACAAATAAATAAATAAATAACATGCCTCTAAAAAAAATATTTTTGATAAATACTTGATAAATACTTTAAACTACAATGCTTGGATAAAATATATTTACCAAGATGTCAAGTAGAAAGTTGTCTACAAGAAGATTAGATGAAGAGGCAAATTTGAGAAAATAAGACACTGTGTTTAGTAGATTAATTTTGTTATAATTACATTTATTTTTTTTTTTTTAAATAGAGGCATGTTTTATTTATTTTTTTATTTGTTTGTTTGTTTGTTTTTGTTTATACATGCACTGGGTACAGTCAGAAGCACGGGAGGGTGAGAGAATTCACCAGAGCCAGAGCGGGGGGCAGAGCAGGCAGAAGGACCGAAGTACACTGCTGAGGGGAGCAGCGGGCGGCAGGAGAGGTCTGCGCGCCATGTGGGACCCTCCTCCTGTGGCCGGGGAGCAGCCGGGGATCGAACCGGCGCCGCAGAGGCCGCGGCAGCTTCGCAACCCAGCGCTCAACCGCTGCGCCACTGGGGAGGCCCTATAATTACATTTAATTATATTGAGTTAATCTATGAAAATAAGCTCTTCTTACCCTGTATTATTAAATTATTTCTTTGAATTTTGAGTTTTTTGCTCTAGCATAGTATCTTGTACACATTAGGCTCTTAATTTATTGAGAAGTTAATTTATGAAATAAATACACTTGTTGAATAATTATCTTACAGTAACTTCAGAATGCCGGTGCTCAAATTATAAATTACTACTAGATTATATTAAGGAGCCACAGTAGCTGAAACCCACTCAAATAGAATTGCATTGTTGTGACAAAGTATTTGTGCAGAAGAAAGCATGGTTCTTATTTGTATCTGAAATTGTGTACCATATGTGCTTACTAAGTTAATTGATTACTTTGGGGTATGGTTGTATATGTAGCTTTAATTATAAAAGTTTTTATGCATACATGTCTTTATGTTTATCTTGTTTTGCGATACTTTTCCATCTTCCCAAGTTTTTTTTTTTAAAAGATTTATTTTTATTATGCATGCAAGAACTAGGGTGTAGCCAGAGGCGCAGGGAGTGAGAGGATTCACCAGAGACAGAGTAAGGAGCGGAACAGTTAGATCTACTGAAATAACACTGCTAAAGAGAACAGAGGGCAAGAAAGAAGAGAAAGGTCTGCTGTGCCATATATTGCTGGGGATCAAACTCAGGCAGTAGCAGTGATAGCTTGTTAGCACTGAGACTTAACCCTTATGCTACCCAGGGAGGCCCAGTCTTTCCAAATTTTAAGAAGAGGAGTTTAGAGTAACTGGAAATTGTCCTAAATTTTGAGGTCATTCCTTATGTTTTATAGTCTGAACTGGATTAATTCCTTAACCAGGGGCTTAAAATAAAAGTAAGATAGAAATAAGAATAGTAGAATATGAGAAGGTAGTAAAAAGTATTTTCATATTCACACAATTAGTAGTCTAGACTTAAAAGATTATTAATAAAGTTCCACAAGTAGTTACTTGAAAGAAACATCACAGCATGAATTCTGTTTTTTGTGTTTTTTTGATGATACATAGGTAGTCAAGTGGAGAAAGTTGTATGTAGTATTTAGAGAGATGATTAGTTTTTAGTGTCTAAAGTATATGATTTTTATAACTGGTACTCCAACATTGCAGAAATTGTACAAAGCAAATGTGAAAAAAGAAGTCATTTCAACCCCTAATCTCTCCGAAGACTGCATTTTGTTGCATATAGCTGGTTAGGGTTTTTTTTTTCGCTTGTTTAATCTACATGTAGTTTTGTGTATTTGAAATGGTTGGCTATCAATGTGTGAATAAAATTGTATTTTCTTTTTTCCACATAATTAAATTTTTAACTGTAGAATGAGCTGCTTAACAAACATTGTTCGTGGCAGTATTTAGCAAGACAACCTGAAATATTATGAAAATTTTGCAAATGTGTTGTAGTAGCATTCTAGTTCTGTGATTTAATATTTCTGTAGCTGGTTGGGGGCTATAATATTAGCTATCAAGTAAAGAAAAAGAAAATGATAAAGTACTATTTCAGGAAAAAACAACACAACTAATATACTGTTGTTTAGGAATGTGAAGTTAAGAACAAATTCAAATCTGTATTTAATAGGAATATGGGTGGTGTAGAAAAAACATGTTTACTATGTCTAATAACTTTTATAGTGATTTTCATTTTCTTTGACTTTTTTTCCTCACCTATTCCCTGAATTTGTCATCTCTTTTTAAGACTGCCAGGCCAGAAACTGTTACTAATGATGATGAAGAAGCCTTAGATGAAGAAACAAAAAGAAGAGATCAGATGATCAAAGGGGCCATTGAAGTTTTAATACGTGAATACTCCAGTGAGCTCAATGCCCCATCGCAAGAATCTGATTCTCACCCCAGGAAGAAGAAGAAAGAAAAGAAGGAAGACGTATGTTTTACTGATTTTTGACATCTGAATCATTTATATGGTTTACTTTTTATGGTATTGCTCAGATACTTTCATTGCATTTCCTCTTTCAAGGGGAAAACAATGGCTAGCATCTATAACAATGTACTGTCAAACTTGATGACTTTTATTACTTTTTACTAGTAAGTTCTGGTTTTATTGTTTGGAAGTGCACCAAAAAGCTTATGCTTATCTGTGAGTTCAAGTCAAGTTGAAAAAATAAAACGAAGGATATTTGAGTGATTAAGTAAGAACTGACATTAGGGATAAGGAATTTTTGTTTGTTTTGACATTGGCGGGACTGGCCTTGTTTTGCTTTATTTCCTAATTATTGTTATTCTGTCTCTGCTCCAAGCAGAATACCAGGTCTCCTTTGCTGAGGATTTTCACCTATTTTTGAAATTTTAGCAACCTTTCCTTATAAGCTAGAGATAGTAATGTTATTAAACTTCTGACTGGGGAAGTATGAAAGAGCAGTCCAAGATGAAACCGCCCACCCTCCCCCCTCATGTATTACTCTTACCTTTCTACTTTGTTGGCTTAAACTAGTTGAATAGTGGGGAGTCCAGGTAGAAAGAAAATATGCTTTACCCAGACTGATTTCTTTGGATAAACTTGGAGAAATTATGGAGAATGTTCTATAAAAAATACTGGAAGTGTGTTCTATGCATGGATTGTATACAACATGAAAAACTCCAAAACATATTGTGATTTCATCGTTTTATGTAAGCCATCTTTAATTTTTTTTGTGGACAAATACATTTTTATTTTTCGTCTTCATGTCATCTTAAAAAATCTGTGTAAGTGATGTGCCAGTTATTTAGAGTGATGGCTGGTAGATCATCAGATGGAGGGTAATTTAGATTTCTTCTTGCTCTTTAGTGGGAAAAGAGAAAAAACTAGGCATATTTGTTTGAAATACATTGGGGAGAGGAGTAAATAAATTCTGCCCTATCCTAGGAATTAAGGGTAAATTTTGTTGGTATGATTGTTTACTATGTCTTCGTGAAAATGAAGGAAAAGTCCTTACTAGTATGAGACCCTCCTCATTCATTGGTTAGGAAAGTCAGGGAGCGTATGTTAAGAGTGATTGGCGGTATTACAGAGAACAGGTGAAAACATTTACTGTGAACTAGTTTGAAATCAATAAAATGTCATAGAAAGCTTGCATTGCTTACAGTATAATCATAAAGAGCATTGCTTTGCAGAGTAATGGGAACTCTTGTTTTATTTGTGTGTGTTTTTTTTTTTTTTAAATCTTCATGGATTTTCCGTAGATTTTCCGCAGATTTCCAGTGGCCCCGCTGATCCCTTATCCACTCATCACAAAGGTTCGTCTATATTCTAGACTATTAATAACTTTGTTTACTATAATTGCCAGATTTATTCTTACCTATTTGATTTTCCACTATTTAAATTGTTAGATTTTGTTTTTACTTTGTAAGTTCTGTTTATTTACTAGTATCTTTTGCAAGATTGTACAGAATATCCAACCTTCAGTTTTCTTTTTGTATTCATAAACATTGATCTTTATTCATTCCTTCCTGTTCCCCAATCCTTTAGGAGGATATCAATGCTATAGAAATGGAAGAAGACAAACGAGACCTGATATCCCGAGAGATCAGCAAATTCAGAGACACACACAAGGTAGTATTCTTGTCTTTTCACTTGGTGCCAATCTAGACTTTTTACAGAATCCAAAACAAACAAACAAAAAAAAATCAACCTTACATTAGAATATAAGTTTGAATGGTATTTATAGGTTTGATTGCTATTTAGAAAGAAACAGAAGACCAAAACCAATATTAAAAAGTGTTCCTTGACATATTTTACTTAGTTTTTTCAGTTACTAACTACGCTGCAGTCATCTCACTTTGATATGAATAAAAGCTTATTTTATTTTTAGATTTCAACATAAACATCAAGGCCAGACTTAAACTAGATTCAAGGGGGCAGCAGAATAGCAGACCCTATAGTGTATTTCTGGGGGCAGTTATTTAACTTAATCTTAGGAAACCTTTACTTTAGAGCTGAGATTAAAATTTAAGATTTATATTTGTGTAGATTTAAGTTGAGTGGGGGAGATTTTAAAAAAGTAGGTCAGTGGTTACCAGCTTACCAAATTTTAGATGCATGGAAGAACTGTAAATTCCCATAAAGCTAATCTATTCATTGACCCCCACCATTATGATAGAGATCATATGGTGACTAATGCAAGATGAAACTCTCAGCTTGGAAAGTAACAAGGAATAGGATGTAAGTATGAGCTTCTGTTTTTTATTATATTTATGGATGCCCCCTCAGAAAAATATGCAAAGGGGTAACTGGCTTGGAAATGGGTATTTATGCATAGTAAATCCCACTCACGAGTTTTGCCTATTGAAAGCTTCTCTCAGTGTTGGTACCTCTGTGAATGTTCTCATTGAAGGTGATGCTTACAGATAGTGAAATGCAAAACACTGCATGAGATGTATTTTGATGTTAGAGATAAGATTTTAACTGAGTGACCTTTAGCTCAGTAAAATGTTGTGTTCATTTCTTCTTTGAGTCAATCTCATTATTTCTTTTGCTCTAAATCACAAGTTGACAGTTAATACCATTGATTCAGTGCTGCTAAAGACTTAACAGATATCAGTGCTTTCTCGGGAATTAAATTTGTCTGAAAGCACCAATGCAGTTATCCCAAATTACTTCTGATAGCTAAAAAGAGTTTGTGGGATATCATTTTAGAGGAATACTTTTGGTTAGGTTTAATATTCAAAATCAGGGTTCTGAGTAAGCTTGAAAATGGTATACAGTTGTGTGTGTGGTTTACCCCAGCCCCTTTTTTGTTGTTACTTGTTAAACCTTGTCATGTCATTGATAAAGTATAAAAATTAATTAAAAAAAAAAGTTTGCTTCATAGTTTGAGAAGCTGTCGGGCATTGACTGCCTTAGACTTACTTCACTGGGGTAAGAGGGTTGGTGTTTTAAATTTCAAAAATGTGCTTTAAAAAAAATCAAAATGAAAAACAGTTTGTTTTATTGGGTGGTATGGTTAAGGGGATGTTTGAAACTACAATAACAAAAAAATGAGCTCAGTGAACCTTTGCATGTTTTGGTATGAGTTTATTAAATAACCACAGACTTAGGGTATCAGCGTGGCAGGGGGCGTCCATTTACAGCACGGACGAGTCTGAAGAGAGAATAAGGTAAGATTTACGATTTTTTTTTCCCTCTCCTTTCCTCTTCATTATTTCATTACTTAACATCTATTTAGACTCACTTCAGTTCCTCTTTCTTTAGTCTGTCAGAAAAAATATGTTTGTGTGTATGTAGGTGTGTCTGTTTACTACATACAGAAATCTTTTTGAAATGCAGTTAGTGTGAACCAGATTCACTTGCTTTTTCAATTATTGAAAACAAAACTTTTTAAATGGATTATGAAACATTGTTATTTAACATAAGTGGTGCTATACACCTAGAAGAAATGAGTAGTGCAGTGAATAAGCAAGAATTAAATAATTGAGGAATTCTACAAAAGAAATTATTATTGGAACAGCTAAAATAATCTGTAAGTATTATCTCAGATATAAAAATTTCTTTATAAGTGTATGATACTGAGGTAAGTTTTACATAGTATAGTCTAGCCTCATTTCACAATATAAATTCTAATATTCCCTTAGAACTGTTTCAGAAGTTAGAATTTGCCCTTTTAAATACCTTTCAGTTTCTGTTTTCTTTCTACCATTCCTTTTATCTTCCCTTTCTAATTTCAATGTATTCAGTATTGGCTTTGCCTGTATTCTACTTTGGTATTGACTGGCACAGCAGCTGAATATATTGATTTCTCATGCATTAGCTTTTCTTTCATAATCCTCTATCAGTTCTCTGATCCATGAGCAAGAGAAAAAGAGTATAACAGGTAAGATTGCTTTTTAAAGTTGTTTTAAATGCTTTACCTGACTGAGAAAAGAAAAATGCACATTTTATTGTTACAGTTTAAATTTCATTTCGGTGACACTAAACATGGAACCAAAGGAGTAAATATGTGTTTTGTTTTGTTTATCCTATTTTGGGTAATTTTTTCTTGAGTTTTGTGTTGAAATCGTGTGGTACACTGGTTGTAATCTTATCAGGGAACAAACTTGGTCTTATTTTGTTATTTGGTTTATTTGTGAACCATGTACTTGCTCTTCCTCCCAGAAACATAGCTTTATAGGCAAGGTTAATCCAGTGTTGGCGATCCATGTCCTAGCACAGCATCTGTAAGTTTATATACAACCGTTCCTTCCAAGGATGGATTTATCACTGTTGATATATTATTGTCTTGTAGGCATAATGGAAATAAATATGTCACTTTAAAAATTAAATGAAATGAAAATATTATAATGTACATTTTTGCTTGAAGTGAGTTATTTTGAAATTTTTTTATTTGGTGGGCTGTCCATCTTGCAATGGTGGGAGTAATGTTTCCATGGATAGTAGGGCAGATCTTGACTGGATTCAGGTTATCTTTTGGAGGGTGGGTAAACTAAAGGGCAGATTATTTAGTTGCTTTATAATGATCTTACTTGTACTCCACCTCCCCTCTAAACCCTCAACTAGTAACCTGTAGATAATGGGAAGACTGGGATTGTAGTGAGTATGAATAGTCCAACTGATTTACAGAAATTTTTAATGGGAGGAATTAAATTTCTACCAAGTGATTGTATTTCTAGAAATTATGAATCACCAATTTACATAATCATTGGGTGGGTAGCCACACTTGACACAATCTCCCAGCATCCAAGATTGGAGATTCCTGGTCTGTTAGAGTATATGGTTTTGCACGAAATTTATCTAGTCTTGTCATTACTTCAGTTTGTCAAGTAAAACCACAGGTATTTAATGTTAAAGTACCAGTGGTTTGGTTTCTTGTTCCCACTATTGGGCATTGCGCCGGGAAAAATAGGAAAACTGGAGCTACAGAGTTAACTCTAAAAGCACTTTTATTGGTTTCTAGAAACTGGAAGAAGAGAAAGGCAAAAAGGAAAAAGAAAGACAGGAAATTGAGAAAGAACGGAGAGAAAGAGAGAGGGAGCGTGAAAGGGAACGAGAAAGGCGAGAACGGGAACGAGAAAGGGAAAGAGAACGTGAACGAGAAAAGGAGAAGGAACGGGAGCGGGAACGAGAACGGGATAGGGATCGTGACCGGACAAAAGAGAGAGATCGAGATCGGGATCGAGAGAGAGATCGGGACCGAGATCGGGAAAGGAGTTCAGATCGGAATAAGGATCGAAGTCGATCAAGGTAAGACTTTATAGAAGTACTGTTTTCCTGATAGCTTTGGTGGGACAACAGGTTCACATTCTATAGGATAATTTACTATATGGATGTGATGAAGGACTTCCTTTCTTGGCTTGCTGTCTCACCTTTGTAATACCTGTGTGATTGAAGTAACAATTTTCAACATTTAAGGTTAGTTTCTGTCGGAAGTCAGTCTTCACAGAGACCTGGAACACATCCAGTGTCCTGGACAGACTTGCTTTCCTGTCGTTTCCCTGGTTGGTGGGCAGTTTTTCTACTCATTTTCATTAAGGGCTCCTGTAAATGGGGAAATCAGCTCTAATACCATTGCTTTTAGCCCCTGCTGTCTCTGTTTGGTTCTGTAGCTTACTGGATGGCCACAACTCACTCTGCAGGCCCTGAATTACCCTAATTATGGCTCCAAGTAATTTCACCTTTGGCTTTTTTTTTTTTTTTTTTGGGGGGGTACAAGCACTGGGGCACAGTCCAGGGGCGCGGGAGGGTGAGAGAATTCACCAGAGACAGAGCAGAGAGCAGAACAGGCAGAAGGACCGAAGTACACTGCTGAGGGGAGCAGCGGACGAGGCAGGAAAGGTCTGCCCCGCCATGTAAGAATCTCCCTAGCCGGCTGGGAATCAAACTGGCGCTATAGAAGCAGACAGCTTCATAGCACTGTGCTCAATCCGCTGCGCCACCTGGGAGGCCCTGTTTTTTTTTTTTAAACTTAAGGATTTTTGCTCATTACATTGAATTTATTTCATGAATTATTACAAATTCTTTCAAGGGTGAGGTACAGCAAAAATGAATAAGGAAAATGGAAAAGGGAGGGAGTAGAAAGGAAGAGGAAAGTTTTTTTTTCCTAAGCTAGTTTTCAAATAGACATTTCTATGTTGGCACATTTTCCATGTGATTGTAGCAGAAGGGAGGGGGTAAGTCCACTTTAGGTCAGTCCACTAGGTGTTGGAACTGAAGGTCCAGTACTCTTAATCTTTAGTGGGCATTAAAGTCCTTCCCTCCCTTCCTCTTAAATAACCATTATTGAGAATTTGACATAGTCAGTGCTTTTACTATAGGTATGAACCACAAGTGTTTATTGTTACATATGTATTAAAATATATATTGCTATTTAATTATTTTTTTTTTTTTTTAAATTTTTTTTTTTTTTCTTTTATAGAGGCATGTTTTATTTATTTATTTGTTTGTTCGTTTGTTTTGTTTGTACATGCACTGGGTACAGTCAGAAGCGCGGGAGGGTGAGAGAATTCACCAGAGCCAGAGCGGGGAGCAGAGCAGGCAGAAGGACCGAAGTACACTGCTGAGGGGAGCAGCGGGCGGCAGGAAAGGTCTGCACGCCATGTGGGACCCTCCTCCGGTGGCCGGGGAGCAGCCGGGAATCGAACCGGCGCCGCAGAGGCAGCGGGCAGCCTCGCAACCCAGCGCTCAACCGCTGCGCCACCGGGGAGGCCCCTATTGCTATTTAATTAGACTAGTGGCAGAATACTGTGTTCTGCATATGGTTTTGTCTTTCTAAATTATTGAGAACTTTTCATTCCCAATAGGTATAGTTCTAATTTATCTATGCAGCATACGAAAATGCTCATTTCTCTACACCTTTGCCAATACCATTGTTCTTTGATCACTGTGAAGTAGTAGACTATCTTCTAACATGTGCATTAGCTCATATTTTTGTTTTCTGAGATATCCATGAGTATTAATATTGAATTTAGATTGGAATTCAGAATTTGAGACTAGAATTATGCCCTGTCTTACTGAAAATTCACAGAGGAGTTTAATTTTATAGAAATCAAATGCTAAATTCTGACTTGTGAGTTTGTATACTGTAATAATTGTTGTCTTCCATTCCCTTAGTTTTTAAAGGAAAACAAGAGACTGACAGATTTTTAAATTTGTTTAAATAGAGAAAAGAGCAGAGATCGTGAAAGAGAACGGGAGCGTGAAAGAGAGAGAGAGAGAGAACGGGAGCGCGAGAGAGAACGGGAGCGCGAGAGAGAGCGAGAAAGGGAACGGGAACGAGAGAGAGAGAAAGACAAGAAACGGGACCGAGAAGAGGATGAGGAAGATGCTTATGAGCGAAGAAAACTTGAAAGAAAACTCCGAGAAAAAGAAGCTGCTTATCAAGAGGTAATTTGAGGGAATGCCTTTATGCAAAGATTGGTACTTAGTAGGTTAGCCAGAATTTGTGGAGCCCTTTGTATACATTTTTATTTATTTATTTATTTATTTGTTTTGTTTATTTGTTTTTGTTTATACATGCACTGGGTACAGTCAGAAGCGCGGGAGGGTGAGAGAATTCACAAGAGCCAGAGCGGGGAGCAGAGCAGGCAGAAGGACCAAAGTACACTGTTGAGGGGAGCAGCGGGCGGCAGGAGAGGTCTGCGCGCCATGTGGGACCCTCCTCCGGTGGCCGGGGAGCAGCCGGGGATCGAACTGGCGCCGCAGAGGCCGCAGGCAGCTTCGCAGCCCAGCGCTCAACCGCTGCGCCACCAGGGAGGCCCCCCTTTGTATACATTTTTAAAAAAGATTTATTTATTTATGCATGTAAGAGCTGGGGTACAGGCCAGAGATACAGGGGGTGAGGAGGTGAAAGGATTCACCAGAGACAGAGTGAGGAACAGAATAGACAGTCTGACTGAAATACACTGCTGAGGGGAGCAGTGGGAGAGCACGAGAGGTCTGCTTTGCCATGTGGGTTGCTCCCTGGCCGCCGGGGATCAAACTCGTGCTGCAGAGGCTGTGGATTGCTTCATAGTGTAGTGGTTAACCCCTTGAGCCACCAGGGAGGCCCAGGCCCCCTTTGTATACATTTTTAAAGCTCTGACAATTTATTTCTTAGCGCCTTAAGAATTGGGAAATCAGAGAACGGAAGAAAACCCGGGAGTATGAGAAAGAGGCTGAAAGGGAAGAAGAAAGAAGAAGAGAAATGGTAATATTCTAGATTTTTTAAGAAGTGATTTTTCATGTAAAAATCAGCTCAAATCATTACTGTTAGCTAGAAATAACTTTATAATTGAAATGTATAAGCTCCCAGTTTGTATACTTTTAGAACATATTCCAGGTAACTGTGAGAAAATTTCAGTACACCAAAACCTCTTTTCCTTCTATTTCTTGCTGCCTACAAACAAAATTATGTTAGGTGTACTGTCAGTATTTCTTGCAAAGGGTTATGAGAATTTATAGAACATTCTTTAAGAGTCTGCAGCATTTTTTATGGTACATTTAGATGACAGCAGCAGTAGTGTGCAAAGACCTCTTTATAAATCAATATTGTCTTTTTAACATGAAATAGTTTTTTTTTTTTTTTTTAAGATTTATTTATTTATTATTTATACAAGCACTGGGTACAGTCAGAAGCGCGGGAAGGTGAGAGAATTCCCCAGAACCGGGAGCAGAGCAGGCAGAGGGACCAAGGTACACTGCTGAGGGGAGCAGCGGGCGGCAGGAGAGGTCTGTGCGCCATGTGGGACCCTCCTCCGGTGGCCGGGGAGCAGCCGGGGATTGAACCAGCGTTGCAGAGGCTGCAGGCAGCTTCTCAACCCAGCACTCAACCGCTGCACCACCGGGGAATCCCAACATGAAATAGTTTTACCTATGTTTACTGTTATCCTTTCTTTTGACTACATGATAATCACAAAAATAAATCTTGATTTTTGCATTTACACTGAGTAAGAGTGAAAAAATTGACATAGTATGTGTGATGATACAAAGGTTGTTACTAAGTGAAATGATACAAAGATAATTTACTTTGCCATAGTATTTGCTTCACTAGTATGTTCCATGTGTTCTGTCTTTACCAGAATTTCATGAAAGTTTCTTTATCTCCAGTTTGGAGATTATTCTTCCAAAAACTTCACTGAAGTTAGGAATCTTCTTCAAATAGCTTTTGAACATGAGACATAGAGGGAGTTTTTGTAAGTAACCAAAAGGGTGCTTGCAGCAAACTAGACAGATAGTGTGGGCTTTCCAGATAGTAAACCCTCTAACCTCATAGAATAAATTATAATTTTGGATTGTAGCTCCCATTTTACCATCCTTTTTCATCCCTAGGCTAGAAAATAGGGGGAGAATATAAAATATAATTATTTGAAGAAATATTTCCTATCAATTACACTGTTAAGCAAACATGAAAAAAATCATTCTGCTTTCTTTTGCAAATCTGAAGTCCTTGCTTAAGAAAAATTTATTTTTGTTCAGGGGCTTTACAAAAAGTCCAGAAACAAATTACTTGCCCATTATAAAAATGTTCGTGTAATGGAAGTATAGGATGTAAAAAGTGAAAGTTGCTACTCAAGAGTGGTAACTTTTAGAATGTGCTTTATGAGCCTTCCTGTTCTTTATTTAGATATTTGTAATTATTGTCCTTGCTACCTGGCAGTTTACTTTTCTTTATTTAACAAATTTTTAGAGTACATTATATTCCAGCCTTGTTATAGGCATACAAGAATAAATAATGCTACTAACCTTAAAAAAAGTGTGTGGTGTTGTCAGAAATAAGATAGTTACTATGGCTTGTGTGTGAAGGTGTGTTCACAGTATTCTGAAGTACAGAGAAAGAATGACTAATTTTTTCTGAGGTAAGGAGTCGCGCACATAGATGGTTAGATTGGGTAAGTCTTTATAGAGAGGTAACATTTAAATTAAATGAAATGTGTTTAAGTTTTACTGTAGCCAGAAGACTATCATTATCTGCTTTGTATATAGATAATAAAGAGAGTTAGATTGTAAATCAATGTTTATATAATCGTTACCTGTAGTTACTTTAAGCACAATAGTTGTATTTGAAATTCTCAAAATAGAAGCAAGAGATCGTGAATTTTTATGGTTCGTTTACTCAAAGTTTAGATAGGCAGTACCTTTAGATTTATGCATGAAAGTGATTTAAATTTTTAATCCTGCGTTTTATAACAACTACTTGTTGTATTACCTACCTCTAAATGTAAAATATTTTTGCCCAGTCAACAAATTCAATAGCTTTCAATTTTGTCTTGGGCTCAGTTTCATTTGAAAATAATTGCTTTGTAGATTATACTCAGAGAAATTTTAATGTATTATAAGTGGTGTTCATTTTATTACAGATGAGTCCTAAGTCTGATTTGTTTTACAAGAGACAATATATAGCTAATGTTGTGAAATAAGAGAATTATAAAGTTAAGTGATACAGATAAGGAAAATCTGTTACAAAGAAAGGGGAAGGGGGTTAATTTAAATGACTTATGTTAATTTTGCCCACTTTGTTCTTCACTTCCTTAAAGGCAAAAGAAGCTAAACGGCTGAAGGAATTCTTGGAAGATTATGATGACGATAGAGATGATCCCAAATATTACAGGTAAAGAAGACTTGCTTTATGAACTCATACATAGCTCTTCCCCTTGTTTATCCCTAACTTAGTGGAATAAGAAAGAAATCCTGTTTTGTTTTGTAATCACCCGTAGATGATAGGGTGTTTTCTTAGCAGCTGCCGGCAGCATGGGAAGAGCTATTGGAAAAGAATCAACAATTCTATGTATCTTTTTTGGGGAGGTAGAAGTTTAAAGTGGTCCAATTTTATACCAAGTTAATAACTAATTTTTATGACTTAAAGTAGTCTAGAATTATCTCTCATGTCTAGCATGATCCAGGCATGTATTTTTAGATATATAATTAAATAGACACTGTAGCCAAAATAATTGGGAATTAGCAATTTAAATTGAAAGAATGTCAAGATTTGACTTTGCAAAAAAATGTGAAAATAATGGCCTCCCTGGTGGCACAGGGGTTAAGTCATAGCTCTATCAAGCTATTGCCAAGCCACTGCAGCATGAGTTTGATCCCGGCCAGGAAACAGGGAGCTAACCCACATAGTGCAGCAGACTCTCCTGTCTCACTGCTGCCCTCCTCAGGAGTGTATTTCAGTCAGTCTACCTGTTCTGTTTCCCATTCTGTCTCTGGTGAATCCTCTAACCCCCTGCACCTCTGGCCTAGACCCCTGTTCTTGTATGCATAAATAAATAAAATAAATCTATTTTAAAAAAGTAAAAATAAAAAATGAGCATAAAGATTAAAGCATAAAATAGCAGTGTTATATAATTTCAGCATTATGAGATAAACTGCTAGATAGACTGTCTGCCCTCTGTTGATTGTGTACTAGTTCCTCCTGGGATTTTTCCACATGGCAAAGAACTAGTCTGAGTGGTATTAATGCTTTTCATATTTTTCACAATTTCATTTCCAAGAAAAATCAGATTATATATATTGGGTTTTTTGTTTTGGAACACGCGTAAGATGAGAGTTTTCTTTTCCACTCTCATAGCTACTTTTGTACTTGTTTAAGACAAGTACAAAGTTTAAGACCTATTTTATAATGACTAAAATGAGATGTAGTGGTAAATAACAATGTTCAGTTATCAACCTTAACATGTAGTACGTATGGTACCCTGGGTGGTCTGCAAATACAGAGTTTGAAGATAGTCTCAAGTCCTCAGTGCAGCTTTTATTATAAAGCTGGTGCTGTTGGAGACATACATGTGTAATAGTTGATGATCTGAGTATTAAATAAGGACCATTTATTTTTACAGAGGTAGCGCTCTTCAGAAAAGGTTGCGTGATCGGGAAAAGGAAATGGAAGCAGATGAACGGGATAGGAAAAGAGAGAAGGAGGAACTAGAGGAAATCAGGCAACGCCTCCTGGCAGAAGGGCACCCAGATCCAGATGCAGAGCTCCAGAGGGTGAGATATGATACCGTTAATAACAACATTTTATGTATCTTGCTGTTTTGGGGAAGAAGCTTCTAATACTTTTTCCATCAATTTTACTTGATTTCTAGCTTGCTTCAAACTTTTTATCCATGTCTTATTCCTTTATTTATGTGATGTATTACATGAGATAACTGAATATCTTAATAAAACTTAGCTAGAAACCTGTCCTATAATTTGCTGTAATACTTAGTGGATTTTGTAGTTTTAATTCCTTCTGACTGATCCCCTACTTGGTTTCCAGAATAAATTAAAAATGTCTCCATGAACAGCTTGTCATTTTAAAAAGGAAAGTACTGTGTTTTAGTGCATTCAATTTTTATCATTCTGTCTCGCAATTTTGGGGAGAGTGTTCATTTTGGCATAGGCCTTTGACACCAAATTTCTCTTTTATCCCCATATAACTTCTTTCTTTTCCTGTTGTTCATAAATATAAAAATCATTACCACCAACCCTTAGCCATTACTTAGAAATAACAAATGATTGTATCTGACAAAGCTGGGGGTGGAGTTGCCTATTGTGTACTGTTCTAAAGCAAAAATACAAAAACATGTTTTCATTTTTATTTCAGCCAGTTATACCTGTTTACCTTTTTTTTTTTTTTTAAAGATTTATTTATTTATTTATTTGTTTGTTTATACATACAAGCACTGGGTACAGTCAGAAGCACGGGAGGGTGAGAGAATTCACCAGAGCCAGAGAGGGGAGCAGAGCAGGCAGAAGGATCGAAGTACACTGCTGAGGGGAGCAGCGGGGCGGCAGGAGAGGTCTGCGGCCATGTGGGACCCTCCTCTGGTGGCCGGGGAGCAGCCGGGGATCGAACCGGCACCGCATAGACTGCGGGCAGCTTCGCAACCCCAGCGCTCAACCGCTGCGCCACCGGGGAGGCCCTATACCTGTTTACCTTTGTTATCATTGAAGAGTTCATAGAAGCCATTGAAAAAGAGCAATACATGGGTAGCATCAAAGAAAACATTTGTAGAGTACCTAATATACTCTACAGATATATTTAGCATTCTGATTATAGGCGCAGAAGTGTTGTTTCATCATTACTGGTGAAAAAGAAAAGTAGATTTTATGAAGGATCATGTAAGACAAAAAGCTGATTGAGTCATGTATAATTGTAGTCTAAATTAATTAGATTTTTTGGTGGTTGTTTTTGTTTCAGATGGAACAAGAGGCTGAGAGGCGCAGGCAACCACAGATAAAGCAAGAACCAGAATCGGAGGAGGAGGAAGAAGAAAAGCAAGAAAAAGAAGAAAAACGAGAGGAACCAGTGGAAGAGGAAGAAGAGCCCGAGCAAAAGCCCTGTCTCAAACCAACTCTAAGACCTATCAGCTCTGCCCCATCTGTTTCTTCTGCCAGTGGCAATGCAACCCCCAACACTCCTGGGGATGAGTCTCCCTGTGGTATTATTATTCCTCATGAAAATTCACCAGATCAACAACAACCTGAGGAGCATAGGCCAAAAATAGGACTAAGTCTTAAACTGGGTATGTTACCATTCCCTTTCTCTGTTCCTTCCTTTATTCTTCTCTGCCCGCCCCCTGCAAATACCTAAATTTTGCCTTAAGGAAAAAATTAATATGTGCTGCTTGGTAGGTAGATAGAAAAATATTCAAAATGCCTTTCTAGCTCACGATTGTTTTCATAGTTCTACTAGTGCTCCTATATCTGCAGCTGCCTCAAGTTCTGAGAAGAAGTGAAAAGTTAAATTTTCTAGCACTTGTGAGTAGCGAGTTATTTTTTACAGTTGGGATCTTTCTCTGAGATTTGTGGAAGTATATTTTGCATTGTTTTTGAGGGATGGTGGGTTATAAAACGTAACTTTTAAAAATTAATCATACTAATAGAGTGTTTTTACTATAGGTGCTTCCAATAGTCCTGGTCAGCCTAATTCTGTGAAGAGAAAGAAACTCCCTGTAGATAGTGTCTTCAACAAATTTGAAGATGAAGACAATGATGATGTACCCCGAAAAAGGAAACTCGTTCCCCTGGATTATGGTGAAGATGATAAAAATGCTGCCAAAGGCACTGTAAACACTGAAGAAAAGCGCAAACATATTAAAAGTCTCATTGAGAAAATCCCTACAGCCAAACCTGAGCTTTTTGCTTATCCCCTGGATTGGTCTATTGTGGATTCTGTGAGTAGCAAACTGTATTTCATCTTTTTATTGGAAGTGGTTCTAACTATAACATGTAAACACAGTTAATTACATTAATGACAAGTAGGGATAATGATGTGGCTGGAGTCTTGATTCAGAGTAAATGCTATGGCCAAGGGATTTAGTAGATTATTAAGGAAATTCTTGGTGGAGCTTCTAGTCTTCATAAATTAAAAGCAAATAATTATATCTTAATACATAACTTTCTTACTTTAATTTGTAAATTATACTGTGGTACTATGGTTTAGTCTTAAGAAAAATCATAGAGTTATATAGCCTTTTTGTAAATGTAATAAAAAGTTCTTTAATTAAACATGCTTTGTTTTGCAGATATTGATGGAAAGACGAATTAGACCATGGATCAATAAGAAAATCATAGAATACATAGGTGAAGAAGAAGCTACATTAGTTGATTTTGTTTGTTCTAAGGTATTTTACTCCCTCTATTCCCAACATTTGTTATATACTTTAAAATACTACTTAAAATTGTAAATCTTAACGTGCTGAGTTCACACAGCTTAGCTTCAATTGAAAGATTCATGGCTTTAGTTCAAGTATCAGCACTATCAAGCTATCACCAGCCACTGCAGCATGAGTTCAATCCTTGGCCAGGCAGCTAATACACATGTTGCAGCAGACTCTCCTGTCTTGCCTGCTGCTTCCCTAAGCAGTGTATTTCAGTAGATCTTCCTGTTCTGCTCCTCACTCTATCTCTAGTGAATCTTCTCACCCCATGCACCTCTGGCATATACCCCAGTTCTTGTATACATAAATACATCTTAAAAAAAAAAGATTTATGAGCCTCCCCTGGTGGCGCAGGCAGTTGAGCACAGAGCTGTGAAGCTGTCCGCAGCCTCTGCAGTGCTGGTTCGATTCCCAACAGGCCAGGGAGAAACCCACATGTCTGTTCTGCTCCTGGCTCTGTCTCTAGTGAATTCTCTCACCCTCCCACACCCTCACCTGTACCCCAGTTCTTGTATAAATAAAAAAAAAAAAATCTTTAAAAAAAAAAAAAGATTTATGACTTTGTTGTTAGTAGGTATTGTGCTAGACATTTTATAGAACTTGATATTCTTTAACAACCTTATGTAATGTTATTAATATTCTTATATATATATATTTAAAGATTTATTTATTTATACAAGCACTGGGTACAGTCAGAAGTGCGGGGTGGGGGTTGGGGGGATTTGAGAGAATTCACCAGAGCCAGAGCGGGGAACAGAACAGGCAGACTGACGAAATACACTGCTGAGGGGAGCAGCAGGCACTGCAGGAGAAGAGGTCTGTAGCGCCATGTGGGACCCTTGCCGGTGGCCGGGGATCAAACCGGCACTGCAGAGGCTGTGGGCAGCTTTGCAGCCCAGCGTTCAATTGCTTCGCCACCAGGGGAGGCCCAGTATTCTTATATTTTATCTGTATTTTATCCACGAAGAAATTGAGGCTTAAAGAGAAACACTGTTTATATTATACCATAGTTAAACAGTAAGTACAGAGCCAACCCTGTAAAAATTGTTCTTTTAACCACAAGGTGTACTGCATCCTCTATCATTTACTGAAGGCAAAATTCTTATCTTTAATAAGACAGTTACTACAGTTGAAGTGCCTTATTCCTGTAAAGGGAAATAATTACATTTTAAGGAAATGCTGTTTTCCTACTATGAACTACTATGTTTTCATTAGTAATTGCAAATTTAGGCTGCCCTTTCCATTTGTAACTGTTGTAGCACTAAAAGTTGTAAGTCTGGATCTGGTGTCAAAGGTCTATTGGCGAGTGGACAATGTTCTTTAGCCACACAATATTCCTGAACTTGTTTGAGGATTTATAATTAAAAATATCTTTAATATATTGCTAATTTTTTGTTTTTAAAGTCACAGTTGTTTGTTTCTTTTAGGTTATGGCTCATAGTTCACCTCAGAGCATTTTAGATGATGTGGCCATGGTAAGTTAGAAATTCATTGTTATTAACATTTTAACTAATATCAGTGTGAACAAATTAACATGTGAGAACTTGATTGATTTTTTTTTTTTACCTGTTTGTTCTAGAATTGCTTTATAGCTTTTGGATTAAAATTTGACTATGCATTAAAAGAGGATAAAAGTACCCACAGCAAGTTATCATTAGACAACACTAAAGTTAGGGTTTTCTTTTTTACCAGTCTCTTCCTCCTCTGCCTTTGGTATTTGTGCTTATTATGGTAGATCCTAAAAATGGTGGAACATGTATCCTTAAAGATTTAGCATGGAGATGGGCATACCAATAATTGGTCCTTTCGTGTACATGTGTATAATGGGGATAGACATAAAAAAATAATGGTAGCGGGGGCACAGGACTTAAGGACAGTTAGGGAAAGCATGACAGGAATTACCATCTATATTGAGTCGTGTATATTATATAATTTTTTGTCACTTGGTCAGATGTCTGTTGATTTGGCAGTAAACATTCAAATCCCCAATTATATTTAATTTGGATAATGAGCACAATCAGTGGTTGTATCTATCCAATGTTGTGATTTTGTGAGAAAAAGAAGTGGTAGTAAACGTGAGAGAGTGAATACTGAACTCCAAGCTAAAAAAAGAAGAAAATGTTAATTGGAACAGAGCTGGTAGTTTGAAAACGGTGGTTCCAACAAAGTTGTGGGACTGAAATAACTAGAAAGAGAGATTATAATCAGAGAATAGAATGTTTAAGAAAATGTGGTGGATTAATCCTGATAGATGGCAGGGTACAAAATGATTTCAGCCATGTAAGTGTTTAGGGGGCACACTGATGTCATGCATATGGAAATTGAAATTTCTGCATGTTGAGACAGGGATTGGGGATAAATATGGGAACCAGCTTGCCAGAGTGATTATTTTTTTTTTAAAAGATTTATTTGTTTATACAAGCACTGGGTACAGTCAGAAGTGTGGGAGGGTGGGAGAATTCACCAGAGCCAGAGCAGGGAGCAGAACAGGCAGAAGGACCGAAGTACACTGCTGAGGGGAGTAGCGGGCAGCAGGAGAGGTCTGCGCATCATGTGGGACCCTCGCCCAGCAGCCAGGGATCGAACTGCACTGCAGAGGCTGCGGGCAGCTTCGCAACCCAGCGCTCAACCGCTGTGCCACCGGGGAGGCCCTAGAGTGATTATTTAATGTGAATGATAGACTAGGAATTTGCTGGATGGCTGCTGTTGAAATGAAAAGGTAGTATATAGTGAGATCTCATGTACCTCAATGGAGATAATTTCTTATAAGAATTTTTTATATATATTTATTACATCATTCATCATGTATGATTTCCCCATATAGTTCCCACCATTTCACCCATGCACCATCTCCATAGTCCTTGTGCTCTTCCTACCCTATCCTGATACTTCACCCTCTTCCTTCCCTACAGAATGTCTCTTATTTATAGTTGCCTGTGGATTTTGATTTTTACTTTATTATCCTTCCCCCCCCATCCATTATTTGGTTCCTCTATATTCCTCCTATTTTATAAGAAATTTTTTAGAAATAATGGATATCCAGCCATTTCCCTATTGTGTGGATACTAAGACATTTTAAAATGAGGAACTTTCTAAGAAAGCTACTGGAGGGTCAGGATCTTTAAGGCACAGACCATATTTTGCAATAAGTAAAAGAGATGAAAGTTTCATTGAAGAAGTTAAGGATGGTTAGTATAAATTGGAATTGTGTTTCAAAGGGCAGAGCGGGATGGTAGCAATGGGAAGTCAGGGAGGAAGAAGAAACATCAGACAACACTAAGATGACAGATGACATGGGGAACTTGCATTTTGAGCTGTAGAGATGTCAGGGAAGAGTATAGTTGGGGTTCCAAACAAAAAGGAACTCTACTGTCAAGGTCTTTTGTGTTCAAATACTGTGTGATGTCTAAAGCCAGATGGTAGTTTTCTGCTATCCAGCCTGTTGCAGCTTCGCAACCCAGCACACTACAGCTGCGCCACCGGGGAGGCCCAGAAACCAGTTTTCTTAATCTCTACAGTCCTAGCAACATTCGGCCACATCCCACCGTGGCAGTGATGCCCTGGAGCTCAGCCATAGCTGCCTCCTGTAGGAGGACGTATGCTGTTCCATTTAAGCCCTGGAGTAGAGCGCCAACTGTTTGGTAGGATAAAGGCAGGAGTAGAAGCAGGGATGCGATGCACCTAATTTATAAGTTGCTAAAAGAATAAGAATAAGAATTGATTTATTCATTTGCTAAGGGGAAAAGACCCTTTTTGTGTCCCTTGTGGTGATAAGTGTTCACTTTTTCTGTTGCTATGTCCCAGACATTTTATTAAGTGCTTTATAGTGTCTCATTTAATATTTAATTCATTGTGACATACATAATAACTTAGTGAGAAGGTTGCAAGGTTGTTTTGAGAGTAAATGAGATATGCTGGATTAAATTGCTAATTGTGTGCGTCTAGTTCTACCAAAATTACTGCATTTTGTAAACATTTGTTTTCCATAGGAATTTTTCCAGATATGTATAAATATAATTTGTATTTGTAAATTTAAAAGTTAGAATACAATGGATCAAAAAAAGTATTGTCAGTATTTAGTAAGTCATGGGGTTTTGCTTATGCTTTATTATTATCATAATTGTACTATTTAATACAGTTCTCATACTTTCATTTTATTGATAGATTGTGGTTAATTAATATCAGTCACTATTGTTGGAAGGTGGTGATGATTGCTTATCTTAACATGTGTTACTGATTTTTTTATCCCCCTAGGTACTTGATGAAGAAGCAGAAGTTTTTATAGTCAAAATGTGGAGATTATTGATATATGAAACAGAAGCCAAGAAAATTGGTCTTGTGAAGTAAAACTTTTTACATTTAGTGTTCCATTTCAGATTTCTTCTTTCACACCCTTCAAAGGACTTTGAATTTTCTTTGTCTTCAAAGACATTTGTGACATCTGTAATTTTTTTTAATGTAGAAAAATGTGAATTTTTTTGTCCTCTAATTTGTTGAAGCCCTGTGTACTCCTTTGGTTGTAAAGTCATCTGGAATCCTACCTTGGTTCTCTTTATACTCACCAGGTACAAATTACTGGTATGTTTTATAAACCACAGCTACTGTACACAGCCTATCTGATATAATCTTGTTCTGCTGATTTGTTCCTTGTAAATATTAAAATGACTCCCCAATTCTTTTGCAGAATTGCACTTAATATTGAATTGTACTGTATAGGAACCAACATGAACGATCTTAATTGACAGAATACCAGACACATCTATTTTACTCCCTCCTACCCCTCTACCCCATCAGAAATAGTAAGCCCTCAATGAAGGCATAGAATTTAAAACTAGAGTGTGAAAATTAGAAGACAATCCATTCCTGCTGTATCTCTGTATGAATGTGTGTGAATGTATGTATAAAAAAAAGTCTTTTCCCTAGTTTGCTTTGGAGGGTTCCCTTAAACATTACCCAGTTGAAAAATAGAATCATAAAGGAAACGTGATATTGTGCCAACCCTAATGTCTGGGATAATTAGGTTATTAGTCTCCCAGAGTGTGGTATTCTCTTGTGACAAGCAACAGTTCATTGAATGCAATGGGATTTTCCTGTTGTTAGTTGCCTGCTTCAGCTTCTCTTTTAAGGGAGTGTGAATCACAGTGGTTTCCACCCCTAATTTCATTGTTCAGAAATGACGCAGACCATTAGATTCTGGAGAGCTTTATTTAATGCATTTTTGCACTAGTTGGTCCTTAGTTTAATTTTTGTGTACCCTGTTTATTTGTTGTTGTTTTTTAAGGTCTTAATTTGGAAAGCATAAGAGAAAAATCCTTATTAAAAACAAAGATAAAATAGACAATTTTACAGGCTAGGGAAGTTTGACAAAATAGAATAGGAATTCAGCATGGCAATTTACAAAGTTTACTTATTTCTAAGGATAAGGTAAATCATTTAAGGCAGTTACCACTAAGTTTTTGTTTTGTAAAGGGTTTATATCTTTCATGTGTATGTGCACACACGGCTTGCTTAACTTAGCTCATCAAAGTTTAAAAATACATTGATGGTGTGCTTAGAGATATATATGGGGCTTTTTTAAATTGTAGATTGGAATTTCACCAGGGAACAAAATTACTTGAAGATACAAGTTTTAAGAAGGTCTTAACGTAAACTAGGTGCAGCTATTCCTATGTCTGAGTATTTATTTGAAAGAAAAAGATTGGGAGGGGTGAATATGTTAAAAACATAATTTAGTTTCAGTTACTAGATTTAGGTTTTTTTTTTACCATCTGAAGAGGACATTTGAAAACACTGTTCTTAACATTGAACCATGACATGGTTCCATTATGTAAATATTTCAAATATTAAAAATGTATATATTTGATCTTGGGGGCTCATTCTTTCAGAATCTTGTTAAATAAATAGCATCATGTTGTAATTGTGTGGTGCCTACTAGAAAACTTGAAAATATGGACTTGATTTTTATGAATATTAGTAACTGAAGGTCAAAGGCATTTTACCTTATTTTAGTTAATTGTTCATTTATAGAGAAACACCCTATTAGTGTACTAATATGAAATTCTGGTTTCTCAAGAGAACTTTTTAGGAACATGCTTCTTTGCATTTACAGATTCATTTTGTAAATGCCTTTTCTCAGATTGATACCCCACCAACTCAAGAACTTGTTCTAGCAGTTTATTATACTTGTCTGTCTGCTCTTAACCACATTACAACTTCCATGTTGTTTTTATATAGCCAGCATTAGCATGAAAGTTCATTCACGTAGATTCAATTTCCCTTGCTTTTAGTCTATTCTCTTTCCCTGAATTCATCTTAAAAGACCCATTTCTGAAAATCTTAGGGTTATGCACCATATACTGATAACCTCTGCACCATATACTAATAACCTCTTCAGTGAGATTTGTGTCAAGACCCCAAATTCATAAATACTAACATTTCAGCAGCACAGCATTAATATTGGTCACTGGGAAAAAGACTGCTACATTAATAGCTTTTTAAATGTTAGTTCAAATCAGGTTTTGCCACCAGGCTTAAACTTTCAGATTTTCAGAGTTTCTTGTTTTTCAGATTTGTATATAAAGAAATGGTTGTGTGTGAAAATTGACATAGTTTAGTGTCTGAAAAAATCCACAGAAGAAAATTTTTACTAACTTGCTTGAGCTTCCTGAGTTGTCTTTATCATTTGCCCATTGATTGATTTCAGTTTGGAAGCTTTAATTCTGTATTGGCCAATTGTTATACAACTATACGAAAGTTTTTAAATTAATCTTGATCAAGCAGTTTGAAAACTAATATGCTCTTCTAACTTGACTGTATAAATAAAATAATTTTAATTATACACATCTGTTCACAGGAGGAAAAATATTTTCATTAATGAACTTTTCCTCAGACATTACCATGCATCTGAATCACCTGGGGGAATCTTGTTACTAAAACAGACTCTGATTTAGTAGTACTAGCGTGGTGCCTGAGAGTTTGCATTTTTTTTTTAAGATTTATTTTATTATGCATACCAGAACTGGGGTACAGGCCAGAGGGGTGGGGTTGAGAGAATTCACCAGAGACAGAGTGGGGAACAGAACAGGCAGATGTACTGAAATACACTGCTGAGGGGAGCAGCGGGCGAGATAGGAGAAGTCTGCTGTGTCTTGTGGGTTGCTCCCTGGCTGGGGATCTAACTCGTTCTGCAGTGGCTGAGAATAGATTCATAGGTTGCATCTTAACCCCTTGTGCCACCAGGGAGGCCCAGAGTTTGCATTTTTGACCATCTTTCATGTGATGCCAGCACATTCTAATCCATGGACTACACTTAGATTAGCAGTTTCACCTGTCTACTTAGTACTTGTAGTTTATTCTAATTAGACTACTCAAATGCTGCTTATTTTTCTTTGTAAGTAGGTTTTAAAGAGAACATTTTTTTGAGGCACATATACAGATACATATTATGTAAATTCAGGAAGGTGAATTTCAAAAATGATGCCTAAGAACAACTCTTAATATTCTAGGTTTTATCCCAATCAATCTGAGAGTGTTTCCTCCTTAGAGAGCTAAATGGTTTTTACTTACTCTGAATCTTGTAGCATTTCCTGGTGAGCTATGTAATAGCAGAGGCTAATAATTATTTTTGTGTTGAGTACTGTTTTTAATCATGCATTTGTACTAGTTATGGTGGATAATTTGAAAAAAACTGAGTTTGAGAGTCAAATTGGATATACACTTTTCACATTTTTTCTCTTTTCATAGAAAGTAAAACATTTTTTTAAAGTTCAAATAAATGTTGGTAGGCATTTATAACGTCATTTATTTATTCAGCTCTTTCTAATTTCTGTGAATTTTTCAATGTTCTTTCCAAAACTGCTGCAGGTTTTTATGTCAAAATGGTTACAGGTTTTTCCAGGTCATCTTTCAGTCCTCTATTAACAATGTGGAATTGAGAAATAGTTTTGCTTAGTGAAGATGGTGAAATTGATTTGTGAATGTTACTGCATGTGAAAGGTATGAGAAGGAATCCCATATAGGTGAAGAAATACTTTGGATATCAGGAAGAAAACTGGAAAATTTGCATATTTATTTTTAAATCCTAGAACTGTTACATTCATAACTATAGGCCAAAGTGAGCTTGTAATTTTTTAAATTGTACTTTTTATTGAGGTAACATTGGCTTACCACTTGTATATGATTTAGGGGTATGGGTTCACACTTTTACAAATATGTCAGCACACCATGCCCACCTCTTTAGCACCAATAATCCTCCATCATTGTCCATTGTTCCTTCTCTCCCTTTTGCTCGCCACCCTCCCCCTCACTCTGGCAGCCACAATTCTACAGTCACATTTCTTTTTTTTTTTTTTCTTTTTCTTTTATAGAGGCATGTTTTATTTATTTGTTTGTTCGTTTGTTTTGTTTATACATGCACTGGGTACAGTCAGAAGCGCGGGAGGGTGAGAGAATTCACCAGAGGCAGAGTGGGGAGCAGAGCAGGCAGAAGGACCGAAGCACACTGCTGAGGGGAGCAGCGGGCGGCAGGAGAGGTCTGCGCACCATGTGGGACCCTCCTCCGGTGGCCGGGGAGGCGCCGCAGAGGCCGCGGGCAGCCTGGCAACCCAGCGCTCAACCGCTGTGCCACCGGGGTTGCCCTACAGTCACATTTCTTGAGTTTGTTTTGCTTAGTTTTGTCTTTTCCTTTGTTTTTACTCTTTATAATCCACAAGTGAGACTTGTCTTTCTCCTTCTGACTTATTTCACTTAGCATAATTCCCCTCCATTTCCATCCTTGTTGTCACAAATGACAGCTTTTAATTTTTGATATATTGGCAGTTTTGAAATGTGATTAACTTTTTTTTTTTTTTTAGAAAGCATATTCTTTTGGGCCTCCCCAGTGGCTCAGTGGTTGAGCGCTGGGTTGCAAAGCTGCCCGCGGCCTCTGCAGCGCCGGTTCGATCCCCGGCTGCTCCCCGGCCCCCGGAGGAGGGTCCCACATGGCACGCAGACCTCTCCTGCCACCAGCTGCTCCCCTCAGCAGGGTGCTTCGGTCCTTCTGCCTGCTCTGCTCCCCACTCTGCCTCTGGTGAATTCTCTCACCCTCCCGCACTTCTGACTGTACCCAGTGCTTGTATAAACAGAACAAACAAATAAATAAATAAATAAATAACATGCCTCTTTAAAAAAAAAAAGCATATTCTTTTTTTTGTTTTATAGAGGCATGCTTTATTTATTTATTTTGTTTGTTTGTTTTGTTTATACATGCACTGGGTACAGTCAGAAGCGCGGGAGGGTGAGAGAATTCACCAGAGCCAGAGCGGGGAGCAGAGCAGGCAGAAGGACCGAGGTACACTGCTGAGGGGAGCAGCGGGCGGCAGGGGAGGTCTGCGCGCCATATGGGACCCTCCTCCGGTGGCCGGGGAGCAGCCGGGGATCGAACCGGCGCCACAGTGGCTGCGGGCAGCTTTGCAACCCAGCGCTCAACCGCTGCGCCACCGGGGAGGCCCGAAATGTGATTAACTTTTGAAACATCTGTTCATTTGTCTTTGCTTTCATTTTTATCTTTGACATTCTTTGTCTTTTGTTTTATTTTCCAGTTGCTTATTTAGCATAAGTAAACCATTCCTTAGCCAGCTAATTATGCTGCATTATTCAGAAACACATGTCAATGACAAACTTCCATGGAAGTCTAGCCAAATAAATTTTTTTGTAGTTTGGTGTTTTTTTAAAATGTAGGTAACACTGGGATATGATCACCCTTCAGATGGATGTTACCCTACCATACCCACCATCAAAGCACCCTCAGCCCTCCATCACAGTCTGGTGTGCCCCTTTCCCTTCCTTATCTTAGAGCCTCATTTATAGTCAGATTTATAGGGTTGGTTATTGGGAGCCAAAGAAATCCTTTTAATTCTAAAATCAGCTTTGCATTCTGAAAGATAACAGCCATCTTCATCTCAATCTTTCATGGAATCATAATTTCTGTAGAAATCTGCATAACGCCTTCCCTTCTTGCTCCGGTCACAGCAAACTTAAAGCTGCAATCCCAGGGATATAATGAATGCTCCACACACCTGAGATTGGGTCAAAGCACTGGAAGCTGTAATAGTTATTATCAACATGGATGTCCTTCTGTACTGAAGGAGAGATGGCGAATGTTGCCTTTCATTTTATTACTTGATTCATATGAAGACCAAATTAGGAGTCAGAAAAGATTATCTAGACATGGTTTAATGACTACCAAGTCTGCCTACTCTGCCATATCTTGTATTAGTTGAACTGATGACTTTTACATGCTTGTTCATTGAGTAGGAGCTGAATTGTTAAGCAGGCAACACTGCTCTTTTTTTTTTTTAAATAACCTAGCCATTGGGTCTCCCAGCTGGCGCAGCCAGTTGAGCACTGCACTGTGAAGCTGTCCGCAGCCTCTGCATCGCTTGTTTGATTCCTTGTTGGCCAGGGAGAAACCCCCATGACACGGAAGACCTCTCCTGCCTCGCCCCTGCTCTCCTCAGCATTGTCTTCGGTCCGTTTTTCCTTTTCTGTTCCCTACTCTGTCTCTGGTGAATTCTCTCACCCTCCATGCCTCTGGCCTGTATCCCAGTATAAATAAATAAATCTTAAAAAAAATAATCTAGCCATTGAAGCACACTTAAAATGTGGTGTTAATGTTATAAGCTTAGGGGAACAATAGACTCAATAAGACAAGCTCGCTGCAGTGGTGGGAAATATTGGTGAAGAAATGAGACATCAGTAGACATATACATACATACATATATACTACTATATGAACTATTGGGGTGGAACAACAGGAAGATTTTTTTTTAAAGTTTTGATTGTATACAAGAACCGGGGTACAGGCCAGATGTGCGGGAGGGTGAGCGGATTCACTCGAAACAGCAGGGAACAGAACAGGCAGACCGACCGAAATACACTGCTAAGGGGAGCAGTGGGCAAGACAGGAGAGGTCTGCCCCGCCATGTGAGTTTCTGCAGTTGGCGGGGATCGAACCGGCACTGCAGAGGCTGCGGACAGCTTCGCAGCGCTGCTCTCAACGCCTTTGCCACCAGGGAGGCCCAACAGGAAGATTCTTAACCCAAGTAGTAATACACTTAACTCTTGAGCAATGTGGGTTTGAACTATATATGGGGACTAATTCCTAGGGTTTCACATGCCTGGATTCAACCAACTTAGGGTAACAGATGCAGAACCCATGTATGTGGAGGAGTTAACCACAAGTTCAGAGATACTTTGATGGTGAGGGTGGTAGGTACTTCTAAGCCCAGTGTTGGAAAAGGAACCTTAAATACTACATTTATCTCCTCAGTGCTACGATATTCTCCACAAGTGGCTAAGTGCCATCATTTGGGATTCTGATTTTTTTATGCTTAGGCTATTTTAAGTTGTGTCAGCGCTATATCAGTTTTTTTTTTTTTTTTTTATAGAGGCATGTTTTATTTATTTATTTATTTGTTTGTTTGTTTTGTTTATACATGCACTGGGTACAGTCAGAAGCGCGGGAGGGTGAGAGAATTCACCAGAGCCAGAGCGGGGAGCAGAGCAGGCAGAAGGACCGAAGTACACTGCTGAGGGGAGCAGCGGGCGGCAGGAGAGGTCTGCGCGCCATGTGGGACCCTCCTCCGGTGGCCTGGGAGCAGCCGGGGATCGAACCGGCGTCGCAGAGGCTGCGGGCAGCTTCGCAACCCAACACTCAACCGCTGCGCCACTGGGGAGGCCCGCTATATCAGTTTTTAAATTCACTAGTATATAAAGCTCAGTTCTTCACTAAGTCATTTCAGGTGTTCCAAAGGGTAACTAGAAGTCCATTTGTTGAATATTTCACATTTCAAATATTTAATAGCCATGTATAATAGCTAGTGGTTACCAATATTGAATGGACACTGCAGATTATAGAATGTTATGATTGCAAATGGTTAGATTGAACACATCTGGTCTAGATACTGACATTGACCTAAGCAAGGAAAGTGCTTGTTAAAATTTCTTTAGGAAGCAATTTTAACAAATCTTCAAGAAGTATTAAGTGTGAATTTTAAAAAGTTGTAAATTAATTTTTCTGATTTTTTATAACAAAAAATGAGTGAACTTGTTATCTTGCAGAATCCAGAAACTCCAAGTTCATTTTTTTCCTTGTCAATTAAAAAAAAAAAAAAAAATCAGTAGAGAGGCTCAGGTGACGACACTTGGCTAATTATGACCGTAGGTGGAAAGTTTAGATATTAAAGGTTAATTTTAAATGTATTTTTGAGGCAGGTTTTTTAAAAAGAGGGTCCAAGTTCTTGGGAAAGAAATTAGATTTAATAGTGATAATGACATTCAGAACTGAAAGTTAAAACAGCAAAATGAGTACAGTAAAGCCAATCCTTAAGCAGGTCTCTATAAGGAGACCTACCTTACAAAGAACCTTAAGCAATGTCAACTTTTGAATTCCACTATACTCCCATAAGAAACATGGCAGAGACATTGTATATAACTAAAGGCAAGCTACTTTTATATGGCAAGTGTTAGTGAATTGAGTTGCCTTGCAATCATTGATGTAAATGACTCACTTTTCTGATTAACCAGATCCTAACGACTGCTTTAGGCTCTAATTTGTAACATACATTTACCCTACATAGTTTGAATAGTTTCAGCTTTGAATTTTCTGCCTCATTCTTCACTACTTTATCACTTGTGATTACATTCCTGCACCCAAGTTCCAGATGTTTCCAGGGAAAATGTAAATATACCGCACCAGATGGTCTAGACTATCTGTGCTATTTATCTCATTCTTTTACAGAACTTAATCTCCTTCCCCCACACTGCAGTTTTTATTGTTTGTATACTTCCATTAATATAGATGGTATGGTGAAAATTCATTGAATGAATTTCCCCCTCACTTAGCAAATAATTCTTAAGCATAACAAAAATTTAGTTACGTTCTTTCCAATTATAATTCTCCAGTTTATGATGACATGCATTTTAAACCTTTGCACTTTATACTTAGTAACAGTGCTCCATCTATCCAGCAGATCTCCAGTGGCACTATTTTGTAAATACATTTCTTTAGTTTCTTGAATCTTGCTCAGTTATTTCCATTGTGTTCTTCTGTCCATAATATATTTTAAAGAACAACATTGGGTCCTATCTTCATTCCACTGCACTACTGAGATTCCAGAGTAACTTAGAGTATATGTGTCCTCCAAATTTTTAAAGTCCCACAACCTATTTTAGTTTGTAACTCACATTCTACAGTATAATGTTTTAAGAAACTACATTCTAGTAATAGTGTATTTCTTAGAACTATGGATATTTGCTTTCAACTAGGGATTCATCTTCCTTGGACTATCACTTTTGTTCTAGTCTGTTCTACCCAGTGTCTTCTGCTAATTTTCCTCAGTGCTTTCTGGGTGATATTTGATGAAGAATATCAAGAAATGATATGAAAAAATACAAGAAAACTGGAGAAAAGTTACCTACAGTCCAGTTTTTCAAAATCACTAGTTGCTTTTTTATCATCTCTTTTTGCAAGATTTTTTTATAGTTGTGTTTATGTATACATATAAATCTTGTCTTTAAAATTTAACAGTATTTTTTAAATCTTCATAAAAACAGTTCAATAAAATCCTGCGAAGTGGGTGAACTATTAATTTATTGTACACCCAGCTTTCCATGTTTTTTGCTATATGCAATACTTCATGAAAATCTAGAGAATATTTTTGTATTGCAGTTATTTCCAAGAATATCAGCATTTTAAGATTTTCTATTCAATACCAGATTGCATTGAAAGAAATTGAACTACTTTACGTACAGTTTTTAGCCTATGCTAGTTTGACACATTTTATGTTGTAGGCGCTGTTCTCAGTAGTTGAATATGTAAATTGACAAACAGGCAAAAATTATCGTTGGGAAGTTTTGGTGGGGTGGGTGGTGTCAACCTTTTATTCTTACAATTATCATTTCCCATGTTAATTTTAAATTACTTCTGTTCTTATATATGAAGTTACTGTCAGTAAAATCTATTTAAATCTGTTATTGTGTGGGGGCTGGGGGGAGGCAGTGCGATCGATGCTCCAGGAATATGAAGGGTTGTCTTGAAATTTAAAAGAAAAAAATCTCATTTGACCAGATGCTAACTCGCTGATTTCATTTTCAGTGTTCTGTGTTTGCACATTTCTCCACTGTCATAGTGGCAGATTCATTATTTACTATTAGCTTTCCGATGAATACATGAATGCCATATGCTATCTCAGGAGTTAGTTTTTGGTGCTGTTTTACCGCAATTTGGAGAAAAGCCGGCGAATGCAAAAATCAAGTCACTGTTGAGGAACCCTTATATTTTGGGATTACAAAAAGATTTTGCTCTCCGGAAGCTTTCAATCTAGAAGACTGGTTAGTAAACTTGGAGTGCAAAAATCCCAGAGGATATTTGTTTACACTCCGCCTTTTCGGGCTCTACCCTTAAGTTTTGAGTCATTGGGTAGGGGACACAGGTATATGCAATTTTAATTAGCATCCTCTTGATTGTGATGCAACTGATTCTTTTTTTTTTTTTTTTTTTTTTTAAAGATTTTTTTTTTTTTTTTAATAGAGGCATGTTTTCTTTCTTTCTTTCTTTATTTGTTTGTTTGTTTTGTTTATACATGCACTGGGTACAGTCAGAAGCACGGGAGGGTGAGAGAATTCACCAGAGCCAGATCGGGAAGCAGAGCAGGCAGAAGGACCGAAGTACACTGCTGAGGGGAGCAGCGGGCGGCAGGAGAGGTCTGCGCGCCATGTGGGACCCTCCTCTGGTGGCCGGGGAGCAGCCGGGGATCGAACCGGCGCCGCAGAGGCCGCGGGCAGCTTCGCAACCCAGCGCTCAACCGCTGCGCCACCGGGGAGGCCTGCAACTGATTCTTAATGAGAAACACTAAAAGTAGGTACTATCGAGAAATGAAGGCTTGGAGATTCCGGGAGTACGGATCCAGTTTACGTAGAAACGTTGGTTCTCAGCTCAACAGCAGTCTCGCCTCCCGGACAACCTCCAGCTCAGCGGCACCCGGGGTACCTCCGGAGGCTCGAAGCCGGGCGGAGCCTCGGGTCGCCCCTCTCCCCAGCAATTCGCGCGCGCCGCCGGAAGCCCCGCCCCTTCCCCTGGGACTAGGCCCCTCCCACGGCCAGCCGGCCGCCAACGACGCCAGAGACGGAAATGACGACACCAGTGAGGCCTCTTGGGCGGGGCCTGGCGGGGCAGCTCCGGAGGCCGCGATTTCACATCGGAAACAAAACAGCCGCTGCTGGGCAAGAAACCTCAGTCGCGAGCGGCCGGCGGCGGAGAGAGAGTAGGTGCGTGGTGGGGGGCGTGTGGCCTGACAGGACGGGGCCTCTGACCCGGCGCCGACTCGGGCGGGCGGCCCCGGCCCTTTGTGGCCGCCCGGGCCGCGGACCGGGTCCTCGAGCCTGAGAGGCGGGGTGCGGCCGGGCGGGCGCCGGGAGCCCCTGGGGGGAGCCGGCAGAGGCGGCCCGTTTCTTGGACTCCCGGCGCGGCGCGCGGTCGGGTGAAGAGCGGGTCCCCGCCGAGCCTGGGTCCGGAAGTGCTGTTCGCGAAGACATTTTAGGGCGCAGGTGTCCGGGGCCGGGAGCCACGGCCGTCGTGGAGTGGACAGGGAAAGAGGAAGCGCCTGGCGCTGGGTCTGATTGAGCAACTGGTGAAACTCCGCTCCTCCGCCCCGAGCGTGTCCCCTTGCAAGGGAGGCGAGCGGCGCTCAGGGCTGGGGTCCTTGTGTATCCCGTTCAAAACGGGCTCTGATGCTTTTGCCTGGGTCGGGACTGTGATGAGGCATGTATGTCCAGTTGCTGTGCGTGTAGCTTAAATATTTGCTTGTTCTTCCCGCTCCGAGATTCATTTCAAATACATATCTGCTTCTCTTACAGGAAACTGGTATGTTCTAAAGCTTTACTTGCATGCTTTGGTCAGGATGAATAAAGTATTCAAGGTTTTGTATGGGCGATAAGAATAGGATGCAGACAACTCTGTGGCATATATAGTAACTACCTGGCAGAGCTCATTGTAAAGTTCCTTAGATTCTCTGACGTTTGAGGCAGGTAGCAGTCACATCTGGTTAAGGGAATCTTGCTATTTGAGTTATATTTTACTGTGGAAAGGTATTCGACTCTTGGGATTGAGGTGGGGAAGGCATAGTCAGAGGATGTGCACAAACAAGACCCTTTATCCCAAGCGTCCACTCACCCGGTCTGAACGTAAACAAACTGATGAAGGAGGATAAAACAGGAAATTAGATTGGAGCCTGTTGCGTTTGGCTAATTTCAGTCACCTGCAAAAGCCTATTTCAGTGTTCCATAACTCATTTGCAGAGTGTAATCAAGTTAAACCTCACCCCATCTGCATTTGCCAAGTCCTTAACAATGAACAAAAAAGAGAAACCTATTTATTGAGTATGTGGATTTCAAAACACACACACAGATGATAGAAATGGTGTCTTTCTGGCTTTGAACATTCTGCTTCCGGGTAAACAGTTGTCACAGTTCTTGGGTATCCTCTGAATGGATTTGATTTATTGCTGGATTTTAAGTTAATGGCTGCTACTCCTTCTGCACCACTGCATGAATTTCCATTTAGGGAGAACCAGAGGATTGAAGTTGGTTTCTGAGAATCATCCTATCCCAAAAGATAACACAGGTCTGTTACCAAAGCATACCTGGTTCTCTTCCTCTCAGATTCAGGCTCTCTCTATTCCTGCTCTTCTCACTACTTTTGTATCAGGTTGTAGGGAAAGATGAATTCTCTTCAATATGTATTGGAGAAAACCTTTCATAGCCCCCTAATACTTCTCTTTTATGTGATAGGTGTGATAATATTGGACCATAGTCCCATAACCACAATTCCATATTACAAACACCCCCCCTGAAAAAATGTACTTTCCATAAGCCATTTGACACCAAAATCTCACCTGAACCTATTTTTATAATCTTTATGTAATTTAAGACTTTATATGTTACAATATATACCAATGTGTTTGATTTTGTGGTTCTATTTAAGACCCTGAGGGGGGCATTACAAAACATAGTATTTGCATAGTACCTTTATAAATTTTATATATATATATATATATATATGAATTCAAAACACATTTAGCCCTAAGGGTTTCAGATAAAGAATTCTGCATTTGTAAGTATTTTTTCATTTTCATTGTATCCACTGGGGCCACATAACCATTATTATTTAAAAACCACTATCATAATTCACATAACCAGTCTGCACAACTCAGTGCCTTGGAGCATTTGTTCTCATACAAGGTTCTACTTCAAGGTTTGGATCTGTGGATCAGCTAAGGCAGTTTTGCTTTGCATTTATCCACTGTAAGCTCTTCTCCAGGCAACAGCAGAAGTGCAGAGGCAAGGCCTCTGCGTAAATACAGTTTAGGTGTACCACATCTGCTAAGATTTCTTGACCAAAGCAGGTCTTATGATTGTGCCCAAAGACATGAATTGGGTAGTGGACTTGGCTGCATTGAGACCAAAGGAAATTACAGGGCTAAGCCCAACATTACTGGAGAGGAATGTATGCCTTTCTTGGAGATTCTGGGGGAAGGAATGAATATTTGCTGAATAATAATCTAATCTACCACAGATGGTTCACAGAAATGGAGTGGGATGAAAAGAAGAAAAAATTCACCAAATAGGATGTATCATTTATCCTTGCTCTTTTTAGGGTTTACAGCTGTCACAAAGCCTTATGCAGGACTGGAGAAATTATTTGCTCTTGCTCTTAAAATTCAAAGGTGTCTTTCCAGGATGTATTCCTAAAATTTTAGATTAATATCAAATTATTTTTATTAATTTTACTTAATGAATGCATTTTGGAGATAGGTTACAGTTACTGTTGGGTGTGAGCTTTTGCAAATTCAAGTAGTGGACCTCCCTGGTGGCACAAGGGGTTAAGTCTCAGCACTATGAAGCTATTTGCAGTTAATACAGCATGAGTTCTATCCCTGGCCAGGAAGGTGACCCGCATGGCGCAGCAGACCTCTCCTGTCTCACCTGCTGCTCCCCTCACCAGTATATTTCAGTTAATCCACCTGTCCTATTCCCAACTCTGTCTCTGGTGAATCCTCTTAGCCCCTGCACTTCTGGCCTGTACTCCAGTGCTTGTATGTATAAATTTTTTTTAAGATTTATTTATTTATGCATACAAGAGCTGGGGTGCAGGCCAGAGGTGAGGGTGGGTGAGAGGATTCACCAGAGACAGTGTGGGGAGCAGAACAGGCAGATGTACTGAAATACACTGCTGAGGGGAGCAGTGGGCGAGACAGGAGAGGTCTGCTGCGCCATGTGGGTATCTCCCTGCCCGGGGATCGAACTGAGGCTGCAGTGGCTAGGGATAGCTTCATTGTGCTGATACTTAACCCCTTGCACCACCAGGGAGGCCCTAAATAAATAAATCTTTAAAAAATAAAAACAAATAAAAATTCAATTAAAGGTTCTCCCATTCATTCCATGTAATCAGAACCAAGCTGATTGTCCAGGGAGACGCTGTCAAAGTAAAATCAAGGCTGATTAATTTCATGGGAAAAGAATAAACCATAAAATCACTTGGTACTTGAAATCTTAGCATTACAATACAAAGATACTTCAAAAAATACTTTTAGTTGTTTTTTTCAGTTTAGGAGAAGCTAGGTAAGTAGCTGCAGTGTTAAAGCAAAAGCCACAAGCCCTTTGTACTGGAGATCTTGATAGAATGGCTCATGAAGATGTTTGTTTTTTTGAGGATACACATTTTATTTACATTTATCTCTGACAAAGAAGAAAGAAAATGATATCTATAATTAACCATGCCATATGCGTTTGAGGATTAGTTGTTTCTTGAGATGTAGTGAAAGATAGAAATGTACTTTTCTCTCGGTGTGGCCTTGTATGATATTTTTAAATCAACTTAGGTTAAGATGCTAAGCATTGCTCCTGTGAAGCAGTGTTTTGAAATGCTGGTGGTTTTCTGGTTAGACAGACTTTTCTGTCAGCACATCCTAGCTTCTTGAGTATTTGTATTCTCCTGGGACATTTTAAAGTCTCTTTGTATATATAATAGAAATAAATTATAGTTGTCCAGTAGAGAATGAATTCCTTTTATCTGATTGAGCATGTGTCATGAGAAAAAGACGACGATGGCAATGAATTCAAGTGTTGTACGCTTTAATCCTTCCCCCCTCTACAGTCCAAGTCACATGACCATACTCTCCAGCAACTGTCTCTTCTTGTTCTCGGGGCACTGCTAAGGATCTTAGAAAGCCCACTAGTGTCCGGTCTGTCCAGTGGGGTCATCGGCTTTCAGAGATTGGAACTGTTACTGGACCAGAATCAAATGTGACTTTGCCGGTCTCTTTCTTTTTACCTACAGTGTTTACCAAGCTTGACCAAAAATCTAAGTAGCCCTGTTGCTCCCTGCCTGGGCTTCCTACTCAGCTCTGTAAAAAGCAGCTCTTCCATGGAGGTCACCCGGTGGCATTGTGATCTTCAAAGCCTTAGTGGAGGGATGAACTTTCTCTGGGTGAAGTGGAAAAGACCACAGTTGAGTGTCAGAAGACCTGGGTTTTGGAACTTGTTAACTTGTCTCATAATTATGGGCTGACATAATCTTTCACCTTACCTGAGCCTTAGTTTTTCACGTGTAAATATGGTGTGCCTTTGAAAATATTAGGATCTATGTGCTAAGGTGACTGCTATGATGGGTGAGTCTTAAATTTACCTGAGAGAGCTCTAGTAAGATATGTTTGTATGATTTCTTGTAATAGCTTAATAGATCTTATAAGCCTAATAACAGAAACTACTCAAATTAAAATGACCAGATTCCCATTACCTGTTATTTTGAATAAATACTAGGGCTTGAGGTATAGTCCCATGTTGGGAAAGCTATTGGGACTTCAGTTTTTAGTTGTTAGACCAGTTACTGATGTTTAAGATCTCACTTTTTAAAAAAATCATTTCTAAACAGTAGTTTTACTAGTAATTAAAATCAGCTCAGCATACCTTCATGCTCATTGTCTTAAACTACTAAAGGCCAGGGATGTAGTTATATACAGAGGCAACATAGTGCCACATGTGAGCCTTTGCTTTACCCCTTTGTGAACTTCTTTATGCCATGTTGTTTTCATTTGTAAATTGGCGAAGTGAACATAAGTAGTTAAATCTTCTCAGTGTTTGTGTCTGACAGACCAGTAGACAGTAAACACCTGTGTAGTAAATGGGTAATCACTTTTCTCCTAGTTTGCCTGTAAGTGTAATAATACACTTTATTTATGTTGATTTATTTTTGTCTGCGTTGCCCTTTCTTTCCCTTTCTTTTACTTGACTAGCATCTTGTTTTCTTATTTCTGGGTGATCATATGATAATATTAATGACAAATTTCTAAGGGTTTTTCTGTAATAGAGCTGTACTTTAAATGATGCAGTATAGTCTTCAGAGCAGCTGGAGGATGTAACCAACAGCAGCTTTTTTTGTTTGCCACCATGTGGCACTTCTAGGTTATGTGAGGTTGAAAGAAAAGGAATAATATATGCTGTTTGCAGGTCATTAATACTGTTTTCATATTAAAATTTCAGCTAGTCAAATGGTAGAAATCAAGAAGCATAGGTCAGATTTACTTTGCTTACTGTGCTTAGAACTATAGCTGTTTGTTGGAATCTACCCATCTTTCTGATAACATACATATTGCCAAGTCTTATTTTTTCAAAAAAGACCAGTTATAAGAATAACCTAAAATACAGGTTTACTCCCACAAAAATCTAGTGGAATTTTGTAGTTGAAGTACATAGAAATGTGCACATATCATAGGTGTACAGTTAAGTGACTTTTGACTGACTAAAACCATTGTGTGACTAGCATCCAGGTAAAGAATTCCAACTAAGTTACTAGGACCCTGAAAAGTTTTCCATGTATCACCTTCCAATGAATAACCTTTCTAAAAGTAACTACTGTCTCCTATTTGTATTTTTAATTTGCTTAATTTTTTAAAACAAATTTACATTAACTATGTCTTATTTAGTTAATAATAACTTGCAATTCCTTGAGCTCATGCCAGAAGACTCTGAATTTGGATGGGAGGCAAAAGGTAGAAATGCATGATATAAAAGGGAAAACATACCTTGTTTATATATTTGTCTTGATTTGAATGATCCAAATAAAGGTAATTAAGGGTTAATTTGAACTTGATAACTTTACTAGAGGAAATAGTTGGTTTTTTGTTTTGTCTTGTCTAAAGATTGATTTATTTATGCATACAGGAACTGGGGTGTAGGCCAGAGGTGTGGGAAGTGAGAGGATTTACCAGAGACAGAGTGGGGAGCAGAACAGGTGGAGCTACTGAAATACATTGCTGAGGGGAGCAGCAGCAGGCGAAACAGGAGAGGTCTGCTGTGCCATGTGCGTTAGCTACCTGACTAGGGATTGAACTCATGCTGCAGTGGCTGGCAATAGCTTGACAGTGCTGTGTCTTTAACCCCTGCACCACCAGGGAAGCCCAGAAAAAGTTGTTTTATGTGTTTTTGATGAAAAATCATTAGAATAAAAAAAGTATTTACAGGGTAGAGGATCCTGAAGTTAAAAGTGAAAATGAAATAGGACATTGACTGAATCCTTTCAATGTAAATATGTAAATGGTAATGTTTTTGATACTGTATATCAGAATGCTACTTGGGTATGCAAACAAATATTTTTCCATCTATATTTCTGAAGACCTGTGGGAAAAAGTCATAAAGAAATGACTGAATTAAGGTAGACAGGCAAATTGGATTGTGCCTTTCCCTCACCCCCAGGAAGGAACTGTGGGAGACAGTGATGTGTATAAATAAGGTTTTGCCAGGATGCAAAGGAGAGGCCTGAGGCTGGGAGTTAGGTATCTGTGATTTTTGTTCTGGTGTGATTTTTAACAAGTCACTGAACTTGGGTTCCCTTCTGCTTTTGTAAAATATATAGGTTACCTGTTTACCCTGCCTTGGAGCATTGTGTAAGGGTAAAATGAGATGGTAGAGTTTTGCAAAATTAAAAACAATAGATAAATAATTTTAAGGAGATAACAAAATTAGGTTAGATTGGTTAGCATAAAAAAAGGAATGTTGAGGACCTCCCTGGTGGTGCAACGGTTTGAGCGCCACGCTGTGAAGCTGTCCACAGCCTCTGCAGCACCGGTCGATTCCCAGCCGGCCAGGGAGAAACCCACATGGTGTGGCAGACCTCTCCTGCCTCGCCTGCTGCTCCCCTCAGCAGTATCTTCGGTCTGTCTGCCTGTTCTTCTCTTCACTCTGTCACTGGTGAATTCTCTCACCCTTCCGCACCTCTGACCTATACCCCAATTCTTGTATAAATAAAAAATAAATCTTTAAAAAAAAAGGAATGTTGATACAAACACTCTAAGATAAATATGAAATCACTAGATATCTTTGAGATTGAAAATAGTTGGTTTGTCAAATAGAATTACACATTAGCAAAGAGATATCTTGCACTGACATAAGGTTTGTCAGGTATATAGATCATGACAAATTAATAAATATTTGGTTTATAAATTGATCTTGTAAGTATTGGTGTGAATTGATTGACTAGGATTTAAACAACTCTGGGTGACCTGCTAAAATCCTATTTCAGACCTAATCCTGGAACCTACCAGTGACAGCAGCCTGCAGGGTCCTTAGAAAGCTTGGCCGGGAGGAGAACACATGAAAGAAAGGTTTGTTATTGCTGAAAGCAATTTATGAAAGCATTTAAAAATGAAACTGTTGTAATGCACAAAGCATTGTATTCTTTTTCCCTTTTCAGAACCACAAGAGGCTTTGTTTTCTGTGAAAAGGTATTTCTGTACAGTTGCTTCAATGACAGAGTTACCTGCACCCCTGTCCTACTTCCAGAATGCACAGATGTCCGAAGACAACCACCTGAGCAATACTGTACGTAGCCAGGTACAGTGTCAGCTTTTGCAACTGCCCTTGCTAGACTCGATTTAGTGATCATCCCCCCCCTTACCTTCAAGAGAGGTTTTCTCTACCAAATTTACGAGTTTGTTGAATACAACTGAGTACAAAAACATTATTCTTTTTGGTGCTGGAAACACAAGGCTGTGTGAGAGAGAGGTGTTGATACAATTCCTCCCTGGCTCAGATGATACCTCCTGGGGGCTTCTTTAGCCTCCCTAGCTGCTTACTGTTTTACCGGTCTTGCTCTTACCTTTCTGTGGACTGAGTAGATTTTATTTACATTTTCAGTAGAAGGTTATAGCCTAGTTCCTGCCAGTGCTTAGTAAATGACCATTGAAAGAAGGCACAGTGATGAATGAAAGACTAGGCATAGAAGTCAGAGGAGAGAATCAGGAAAGGGAAATAATCTGCTGCATGGACACAGACTCCTCGCCAGCTCTACACACAGATATCCAGCCTGTAACTAATCAGGACAGATGAACGCAGATTCTGTAGATGGCCTGAGAGGTGACTGGGAATTGGTAGGATTTTCAGAGGTGGGAAAACTCAAGGCCAACTATAAACTACACAGGCTTTCGGGGGGGAGGGGGGGGAGGGGAGTTTGAGAGGAGGGAGTCAGACTTTCCTGTGTTAAAACAGGAGGGCAGAACCAGTGGTGGAAGGTCCAAGGAAGCCAGTTCTATATCAGTAAATGTTTTTTTTTCTCACAATAACTGTACATCTAAAAAATCATGGACTGTCTGGGGGTAGTGTGTGCTTGTCTCAGAAGACTGGAAGACTACCAGCTAAATCTGCACAGGGTGAGTCTGTGGAATGAGCAGTAGACTAGAGCACTACACGGTCTGGAATTTCTCTTTACACTCTGAATATTTAGAACTCCAATTAAGGGTCAAAATACTGGTAGGGGAAAACTTTGCAGTAGACTTTTATGGGTGGTTAGTATTAGAATAGAGCAAACTAGGAGGAGGTCATTACTGATAGAAGAAATAACACGGAAGGAGAATTTTCTTAAAATATAAATTGATAGGCCACATCTAGAGATAGGTTTACAAGACCATCACACTGTATTACGAGAACATTTGCAATCAAGTGAAATCGAGTTAAAATGAACATTGAGAGAAATCCTGAAAGGGAGCACAAGCTGTGAGAAGATGTGGGGGTGGGGAGAAAGGGGCTGCTCCGCCTCATGCCTTGGTACTTGCTGGGTGTTAAAGAATGGATTTTGTGGCAACAAAATCCTCTATTAGGCATCTTGACTTACTTTGTGCTATTCCCTAGGAATAGCTTTTTGAAAAGTTAGAAGGTGGGCAGATTATGAACTTCATTGAATACAGGGAGTGAAAGTTTGGATGCTACAGATGACTCATTTTAAACTGTTACTTCAGAGGAGGGAGAGGGAAAGTAGAAGTGGCCAACTTTAGTCTCTTGGCTGCCCCTTCCTTTTCTTTTCTTTAGGATTTATTTGTGCATACAAGAACTGAGGTACAGGCCAAAGGTGCACGAGGTGAGAGGATTCACCAGAGACAAAGCAGGGAACAGAACAGGCAGATCTACTGAAACACACTGCTGAGGGGAGCAGCAGGTGAGGCAGGAGAGATCTACTGCGCCATGTGGGTAGCTCCCTGGCCAGCCGGGATCGAACTTGTGCTGCAGAGGCTGCGGATAGCTTCACAGTGCTGTGCTTTAACTCCTTGCGCCGCCAGGGAGACCCCATTGGCTGCCCCTTTCTTAATCAGAGCAACTCTGATTTTATCTTTTACATATCGAGCAAAAGATTTCACAGCCATCAAGTTTGGGGTTAAACAGTTTATGTCATTCATCTGTACCAGACCCTCCAGTGGCATCATCTCAGAATAAAATCTGGGCTATAAGTTCTTCACCTCCTCGCCCATCTACCTCTTTCACCCTCTCCCTCACTGCTTTCTCAGCTCTGCCTCTGGTCCTTGGGTTATTCTCTCACCTTCTCAGAAGACTCCCTTCACCTCCTCTGAGTCTGGCCTAATAACTCACCTTGTCAGTAGGGCCTTGTCTTCCCGGGCCCTCCTCTCTCCCTGCTACCCCCTACTCCCCAGACCCCTACTCTACTTTACACAAGCATAGCCCTTAACCAGTGTTTCATGTACCGTGGACTTGATTCCTTCATGTGCTTCTCCATACTGTGTGTAAATTGCTTGAGGCCACGTACATGACCTGCTTTGTTCTCTCCTATACCTCCAGCACCAGCAATAGTGCTTGGCATATAGTGAGTGAACCAGTGTTAAAGTAGTTTTATGTCATCGCTCTCAGGTTTTATGGGGTTTTCATGGACTTTTTTTCTGACTTATTTTACACCCTAATGAGTGATCAATTCAGGAATGCTATAGAGATACAGTTGCTATAGAGGGTTTTTATTGATAATTACATGTGTCAGTGGCTTAGATTTAGCAAGTGTGAGTGCTAGTGTTCTCATACCTTCCAGTTCTGTTAAGATACTATCTACAAAATTAGGTCTGATTTATTTAATATTGGCTCTTCTATTGATATTGTAATGTCAAATAATCTTACCTTTAATTTCTTTTTTTTTTCAGAGATTTATTTATTTATGCATGCAAGAATGGGGGTACAGGCCAGAGGTGAGGGAGGTGAGGGGATTCACCAGAGACAGAAATGGGGAACAGAACAGGCAGATTGACTGAAACACTGCTGAGGGGAGCAGCAGGCAAGTCAGGAGAGGTCTGCTGCATCCCTGCTCCCTGGCCAGGGATTGAACTCGTGCTGCAGTGGCTGCGGATAGCTTTATAGGTTGCGTCTTAACCCCTTTGCCAACAGGGAGGCCCCTCTTTTGTTTAATTTCTTAAAAATGCCTCCCACAACTCAAAGATCTTCTGCAGACACTCATCCTACAGTCACCGTAGGATGGGTATTGTTCCCACTTGGACAAATGCTTGTCCAAGATTGCATAAAAAATTAAGTGAGAGACCTGGGACTTAAAATTGTGCTTTCTAATGCCATACTTACTCCAGTATCCTTTCTTTTCTCCTGGCTGTCTCTTATCCCAGAAAAACATAATACTAAAAGGAGATATTGTATGAAAAAAATTCTGGGGAAGAAAAAACAATCTGTGTATTCATTTTTCACAGATGTACTTTTAAAAATCCCAAAGAGGAAAAGAATCTCATTGTTCTTTTTTCTTGGCCATAAAGAAACCATTGTATATGTATATGTTCTGGCTGGTTATGAAAACCATGGGAATACATCCAAGTTCAAATTGGATAGTTGAGTGTTTTTTTGTGGATGATTTGAAAGCAGCTATTTTATGTCTGCTTTTGAATTTTTATTGTAATATTTTAAGCATTTACAAAAAAAGTATGTCAAGTAATATAATGAGCTGCCATGTATCTACTACACAACTTTGTTAAACGTTAATATTTTGTCTTATTTGCTATGTTTGCTTGGTGATTTTTGAAGAGTAATTTCATTAGGTTATATATGTTTATTGCATATTCATCCTACACTAAATGAATCTTTTTTTATAAAAGATTTATTTGTTTATACATACAAGAATTGGGGCAGGCCAGACTGACCGAAGTACACTGCTGAGGGGAGCAGCGGGCGAGACAGGAGAGGTCTGCTGTGCCATGTGGGTAGCTCCCTGGCCGTGGATCGAACTCATACTGCAGTGGCTGCGGATAGCTTCAGGTTGTGTCTTATCCTCTTGTGCCACCAGGAAGGCCCACTAAATGAAATCTTAACCAAACAAAACAAAAGTTTGCATTTAACTTGGTGTAGACTTCACATCTGTGTTGATGTGCAAGTAGATTAATATGTATATAGATTGGCTGAGAACTTTTTCTAAGATGCAAAAATGAATTTTTTTGGGGGCCTCCCTGGTGGCGCAGCGGTTGAGCGCTGGGTTGTGAAGCTGTCCACGGCCTCTGCGGCGCAGGTTCGATCCCCAGCTGCTCCCCGGCCACCAGAGGAGGGTCCCACATGGTGCGCAGACCTCTCCTGCCGCCCACTGCTCCCCTCAGCAGTGTACTTGGGTCCCTCTGCCTGCTCTGCTCCCTGCTCTGGCTCTGGTGAATTCTGTCACCCTCCCGCGCTTCTGACTGTACCCAGTGCATGTATAAACAAACAAACAAATAAATAAATAACATGCCTCTATTAAAAAAAAAATGAATTTTTTGCAATAAGTCTAAAATTAGTTCATTAACTACACCTTAGATAATGTATATTAGAGCAATAATTTTTAAACCTTAGTGTGTGTTGAAGTTTCCTGAAAGAATTGTTTATACAAAATCTCTGGCCTCAAACTCAGTTTCTGACTTGATAGGTCTGAGATGGGACCAGAGAATTCGCATTTCTGACCAATTCCCAGATCCTGTGAATGTTGGTCTAGGGACCATAGTTTGAGAACTACTATATTTAAGTAATAAAAGGGAAAGTGAGAAAAATAATATTTCTAAGTTGAATAATTGGTATTTTATTTATACTCATTTATTCTCACCCAAATTTTCTGGTCATTAAGGAAATACATTATCAATAGCTCTTTTCACTTAGATTAAAAAAAATCATTTGTTAATTGAAAAAGAAGCTTAAAAGTATAATCCATTGAAAGATCAATAATGATGTTTTGTATAAAGCAATTACTAAAAATATTTCTGTAAATCTATTGTCATTTGTTGCCAGATTTACAACATGAAAATATGTGTGGCCTTTGTAAATGAAGATTACCTGCAAACGTCTTTTGTGAATTAAAAACATTAAGCATAAATTTATTAAGTTGTTATGAGATCATAAACTGACATAATTATTTGCATTTTCCAGATGATGGTGTTGTTTTTTTTTTTAAGTGTGAGATTTTCTATGAAATTAAACAGAAAGCAAACTTTAAAGATACTTATAATCATTTAGGGCCCTCCTGGTGGCCCATAGGGTTAAGACGCAACCTCTGAAGCTGTCCGCAGCCACTGCAGCGTGAGTTAGATCCCCAGCCAGGGAGCTAC